CTCTTTTTGAATACCGACTTTTGAAACTATTCCGCAAGTCATTTTACGGTTAGTTTGTAAACCACCGTGAAACTATATTGTAGAAACCCCTTTTTTTTTTTTAAATCTTTCGTCATGACTGTTCTTCGTTAAAGCGAGGTCTAAAATCATAGTATTTTACTAAAATCACATCTTGGGTTCTTTGATAAACTTTTGTTAAAACCAAAACTGTGTTAGTTTTATTTGGTTAAAACTGTGTCGTTTCTTAAATATACATTTTACTATATCATAGAGTCGGATTTTAAAAATCGGTTCTTTACGGGAATTCTTCATCTCGTCGGGATCTAAAATCATGATTTTTGAGAAAGATGAGATTCGGCCTCTAAAGGCCTCATTTGGCTGCTAGTTTTTTTTTTTTTTTTTAAGTTGTTTTGGACAGCATTGCGTCATTTTTTAAAATGGCTTAAAACTTGCATTTAGAGTTAAAACTAAGTTTATTCACAGTTACAAAAAAACGTTCAAAACATCGAGAACTATAATTTAAATTTAGAATAACTGAAAAATCTCGCTCTAGGATCCTCATTTTCGAGTTCAAAGTAACCGGAAAATTTTACCTCTAACCCAAAATAAGCAAACTTAAATCAAGCATACTCCTACCACATAATACTAATCAAACTAACCTCAAAACAAACAAAACTAACATAAAACTCACACACCCTTATTACAATCATAGCCTCAAAGGAACCACAAATTACATCTATAATTTTAAGCTTAAGGTTAGCTAGAAAAATAATGGAGGAGAGTTTAAGAAATTACCCTTGAAGAACTCTCTTGAATACCTCTGAAATTCTCCTCTTCTTCTTTAACTTAAACTAGGATTTGTGGTGAGATATATGGAAACTTTTGAGTGTGTGTGAGGTAAGGGGAAGGCTCGGTTTTGGTGAGGAGAATGGAAGAAAGAGACTTGAGAAAACCTCATTCTTTTCGTTGATTCGAGTTTAGAATTCGAGTTTTGCTACAGTAAAAAGTTCTCAGAAACAATCACATTTAACTTTTTTGCTACAGTAAAAAGCTCTCACACAACATCACATCTCAACTCGAATTAAAAACTCGAATTAGCGAACCGAACGGGCCCTAAAGTGAAATGGCCGGTTGGTGTTTTTAGAAGGGAAGTACAAGTGAGACTTCTAATAAATAAGTGATTTGATTCATCTCTTTATTTAATCTTTTAGTACAACTTCATCAAGCAAAATTTGCTTAAAGCCTCCTTACATGGCCGGTCTAGGTGGCTGAAAAGAAATGGGTAAGTATGCCATAATTTATCTTCACCTACCACCATTACATCACATCTCATCCAATAAAAACTTAACTCACTCTTGTACTTTTGTCTCATCTCTTAAGTTTTGGTTGAAACTGATAAAATTATATCGACTGTAAGGAAATACTTAGCTAACAGGAAATTTTAGTTTTTAACGGTTCCTTTTCTACTGTTTATTTATAGTTCAATATTAATCCCTGACTATTTTGATATCACATTAAATTTTTACTCGCGCAATAGTTCGAACTGTTTCAAGTCTTGAAATTTATTCTAGACTAAACAAATTCTAAACTTAAATTTTCAGCATTATATCTCGTGAATGACATTGTTTCCGACGGTGTCAACTCCCGAGCTCACATTGTATCCTTCTACTATAAGTATTTTTCTTGTGACTTTAACCTAGCTGTCCGGCAATTAATGATTTTTTTTCTTTTAAAATGTCAAAGCGTTTTTTATACGCTCTAACATCGTGTTGTGCTTGGAAATTCTTGAAATTAAGATTCTCAAATTATATGCGTACTGAAAATTCTTCCGCCTTAAAGTACGATGAGAATTTATCGATCGAATTTACTTGATCGTAAAACATGAACTTACCATGAAATCTGCTACAAAATTTAGAAATACTGATATTAATTTCATAAATCTTTCAGTCACAAAATATAGCATAATATTTTTTAAAAAAATTCTTAACTTAAATACATAAATTGTATTATTTAAAATATGAGATTTTTTTAGTCATTATATTTATAAAATTGTATAAAATTAGATGTGAAAATTAAATGGATAAAAAAGTAAGTGAGAGCACTGACTTATAGGCCCATGTAGCTCTGTCCATAGATCCTAGCACTTCATACTAATTATTATACAATTCATTTTGAGTCGTATAATCTCACTCCACTGAAAACAAGACCTACAAAAGCAAAAGGATGTAAGATATAAACAAATTAATTAAATTCAACGTCGGTAAAGTGGGGTTGGTTAGAGTTCTAATATGTACATAACTTTCCATAAGAAGCACGGGTCACGATTTGCATGTAACTTCAAGGTCGATTCTGTTTCTCCCACTTGAAAAAAGAAAAAAAGAAAAACCAACAACTAAAAGGTCATCAAAGTAAGTGGAGAAGAGACAAAAAGTAAAAACATTTTCAATGTGTATGTGCTTATATTTTCACATGATAACATGTTCATTCAATGAGCAAAGTTAATTAGATAATTTATCAAAGAGTACTTTTTTTTATAGTCTCGTCAGAATTGATAGTATCAATTGACTCTGTGTATATTCAGACCCAATGATCAATGATCAATCTACCTCAAATTAAGTGGATAAGGGTATAGGGGACAAAATGAAAGTAAGGGTTAGTTGTATGGAATTGGCGGAATCATACTAGTTTCCATCTCGTTCCATTGCCATTTTTATTTGAGTTAAGCCGACTTAAAATTATCTCATCCTATTATCATTCTTATATGAATTTATCTGAGTTGAGCTGATCTATAGCCAAAATACTACTGATTTTGAGAGTTGGCAGTGTGTTGTGGCTCACAAAATTCTCACCCGTCAATTTCGGCTCGGGCTAACAAATTCGTCCACCATGGTTGTACCTTGCAATGTACTCTAATATCAAAGAACTCAGACAGACAATTTGGGCCAGTTTAGTTCGTTGATTCGAGTTGAGATGTGACTTTATGTGAGACTTTTTTACTATAATAAAAAAGTTAAATGTGATTATTTTTGAGAGTTTTTTTAGTATAATAAAATTTAAATTTAAACTCAAATCAGTAAAATAAACGGAGTCCCGTATCATATAAATTGCTCTCGAAGTCAACTGCCCTATACTTCACGCATTTTGGTGGAACTAAATTACTCACACTCAAAATCCAATTGAAAAAACAAGGTGGTGTTATCATCCTATTAAATGACCAATGAATTGGTCATTTTTTTTTATTTGCGGAAATTAAATTTGGAATATCTACATACTAATACGTCAGCGAAGATATGGTTAATTATGCCCACCACTTTCAGATTTACCGAACCGATAATCACAGCCACACCTTATTAGTTATTGCTTTTTCAAATTTGTCTTTAGTAATGTAATCACGATTAGTGGGAGACAATTCCAAAGCTGAAACGACAGCGACCTTTGTTTTATACTTAATGTTCAATGTTGAACGTGGCCATGCCGTTTTTTCTCGGATATTCATCATCATGCAGTTTTTTTTTTTTCCTTTTTAATTATGTTTTTATGAATTTCATTTTTTTTCCTATTTTCTTTTTCCTGCCACGTTTTTATCAGCTTTTCCTAGTTTTTCTTGTTAACAAAAAGGAAAAATAAAAAGAAACGAAAAAAAAGGAGCATAGATTCAAAGCCTTGTCATTTAAGTGAAGCAAAACAAGGCGTATGTATATAAAAGATTTCCTTGTGAGGTGACAAAAAGGTAAAAACTTAAAAGGGGCAAAAAAAAAAAAAAAGTTTGTTCAAAGTGATGGAATATGGAATGGATTCAAAGCAATGAAGAAAATCTTGTCATGAGATATTGGTTATTGGAATTTTTGTTTATTGTGCGGTGGACATCGCATAATTTGCGCATGATTGATTATAATATGTAATCTTTAATTGTATTTATTTTGTGAACTTTCATGCTCGTATTTGTGGTCAACTTATGACCACGTTAGGCTTTGACTTTACCATTTCCTTTCCTTTTTTCCTCATTGTAAATTCCCGGTCTTTTTATAATTATTTTACTAATTGAATTCAGTACCATAAGAATTCTTATCGTCGTATTTATAATTAATTATTACCCAATTTATTTTATTGATTTGAGTTTAGAATTTGAGTTTTATTACAGTAAAAAATTCTCATAAATAATCACATCTAATTTTTTTACTACAGTAAAAAACTCTCACATAAAATCACATCTCAACTCAAATTATAAACTCGAATCAACAAAATGAACGACCCATATCAAAACCTTGAATTGTAGTTGCAAGTTGCAACTACTGAACTCCGGTCATCAGCAAACTTGTGCTCTTTGTCAGGAAGAATTAGGGTCCGTTCACTTCGCTGATTCGAGTTTATAATTCGAGTTGAGATGTGATTTTGTGTGAGAGCTTTTTACTGTAATAAAAAAGTTAGATGTGACTATTTTTGAGAGCTTTTTACTGTAGCTAAACTCAAATTCTAAACTCAAATCAGTAAAATGGACGGAGTCTAGACTAGTAGGGCCATAAAACAATTTCCCCAAAATCCTTAACAAACCAACAAGTTGCGTAATGGTATTTTCCATTTGGTAATAAATAAATTTAATCAATTTCTGGAGAAAACCAAAACGGTCTACAGTTTCACCCAGCGGGAAGTAAATAATAAAGCGACACAGTCCCATGATGACGACAAAATAAAGTAAGAAAGAGGGAGAGAGAGAGAGAGAGAAGTCCAAAAAGACAGGCTTTGCACGAAATTCACAGACAAAAAAGTCGAATGATCGGTAGGCCCCACTTCCCCCCAAAAACAAATATCTGGGTTTTTTTTTTAACATTTTGGAGTGGGACCCATCTCCGTAAATCCACAATTCTATACACCAGCAGATTGGTCATTGGGTCTGTGATATTTATAAGTTATAACCTCTCTCTCTGAAGACCACTCTCTCTATCACCCACTCTCTCTCCCCCTCTCCCTCCCTCTCTCTCTCTCTCTCTCTCTCTCTCTCTCTCTCTCTCTCTCTCTCTCTCTCTCATATTTTTGTTCTTACTGCTTTCGCAAAACGCCAAGAAAACTCTGTTTCCTTCCTCCTTGTTCCATAGCAATTAGCTACAATGCTCTCGCCTTCTCTGTAAAAAAAAAGAAAGAAAGAAAAGCTCTTTCCTTTTTCCTCTCGCCCTGTGAGTGATGATCAGAGTAGTCTCATTGGTTTAGATAGATATATATATATATATATTTATATTGTATATATGGGTTCGTGTGTTTCTTCTCTTCATAATAGAAGCTCTGATTCACCCATGAAGCTCAGACTGTCGTTTGGATCCAAAAACGACAAGCTCGAGATTCCACCTTCGCCAGTCAAGGAAAAACCCGCCGGTCGGATCAAGGACGTTGCTCTCAGCTCTTGGTCGCCATCTCCCTCCGCCAAGACTTTTCGAGATTATGGTATGAAACTGCTCCGAACTCCGTTCATGATTTTGATCTTGCAAGACAGAAAAGAGAAGGAAAAAGAAAAAGTTTCCTTTTTGTATTATGTATCTGAGTTTGTTGTAGAAATGGAATGGCTTTTTCTTCTTCTCTAGATCCTTTACTAAAATTAAAAAAAAAAAAGAAAAGAAATAAAAGTTGTTTGGATAGTATTTATTGATATATAGTGGTTACTAGTTTAGAGAGACATTGAAGATCCTTCTCCATTTCAACTTCTGATGACTGATTTCCGGAGTTTGTTATTGGAGGGGTGGTTTTCTTGTCGTTTATGCGCCAAAAATTCTCTCTTTATTGTTATGAGATGAGATGATCACTTTCTTAAATTCGATATACTTATTCTGTTTTTTTTCCCTTTTCTTTTGGGGAATTTGTAAGGCCTTTTTATTATTTTCTGGTAAACATGCTGCTACTGAAATCTTTATTTTTAATGCCTTTTACAATTACAAATTATTAAACTTTTTTCTATTTTATAAAGTATATTTGGTTTGAGGGAGAAGATATTGTGTATTTGGTTTGTTGTACCAAATATAAATAATAAATCTATCTGGCTGTTTTTTGGAATTGAAATAAGTTAGATTTTCTGAAATTCTTTGGAGTGATATATGTGATTTATGAGTTTGAAGGGAAGTTGGTACATGTCACTTCTGAAAATGGACCCCAATAGTAAATAAGAAAAGTCTCTTTTACTATTATTTTCTCTAGTGTGATTTTTCTGAAAAAGTAGGTCATTGTGGGTGAACCACCATGAAAACCCATCCTGTACACTATGAGCATATCATTGTAGAAAAACGTCTTGGAATATAACTTTTTATTCCCTCTTGGCAGTTTATGAAGTTTGGTATCCTAGAGTTTCCTAGGAGTTGATAAGGGATATGGCCAAAATATTGGTGAATGCAATTTTCTTAGCCTTTTATCATGCTTAGAAATAGATAAAGATGACCCATTATTGAATATGGACGGCTTATTTTGTTTAGTATGGTCCTCGCCCTTGCCATTGCTTTTAACTTGGAAAAGATGTATCTTTTTGTGGGGCCAGTACTAGTTTTGCTTGCATTATGGTTGGGGCAAAGCTCATCTTGTGGTGGATGGTTTTGACTATTCAGGATCATGGTAAAGGCTTGGTGATGGATGGACCACATTATTGTGTATTCATGTATTGTAGGGTCCGCAGATTTTTATGATTTATGGGAAGAAAAGAAGTAGATATGAACATCAGGAATTATTGAAAGTTAGGTTTCCCCGGCTATGTCTACCTCAATTTGGAATTAAATTACATTGACACTTGCTGGTTCTTCTTGTTTGTGATTTTCGGAAGTAGCCTTTTTTTTTTCTCTAATTTACACTTTTAATTGAAATTATGGAAATGTAAACACGTGTGCCTTGTTCCTTTACAGATAGTAAAGAGGAAGCCTTCTTTGATTCCCAGCCTTGGTTGGAATCAGACTGTGAAGATGATTTTTATAGTGTCAATGGTGGTAAGCACATATTCGAATGCCTTGTTCCATCTTGTCTTGCAATACAGCATTGCTACTGTTTTCCACTATTTTCTCAAAATTCTAGTATTGGCTTTCTTACAATAGTTTGAAACAGAATCCGATTTGATGATCTAACAAACAGTAACGGTAAGAAAAATTTGGAAACTTGGGGGTTGTTTGGAGGATATATTTTTAAACCCATGATTTGGTTTTGCTACATTGTTTTTTTATCTCACGAAGAATTTGAATTAAAAAATTTCCTCTCTCACAAGGGTTCCCACCAATGAATCAGATTCACTAACTTGAATGTATGTTCCGAATGGACCCTTGGTATATGTGGTGGCAAATAAAGGAGAAAGGTCAATTCCTAATAAAACCATTGAGCTACATTTCCCCCGCCAATTTTTGTATAGCCTGACCCTGAGTTCAAGACACAATAAAGATCTTTGGTCTTTTTCAACAATAAGGCTTATGGACCGTCTCATTAGTCTCTTAAGTTTTTGCTAGAACATTGGTCTTTTAAGTTGAAAAGGAAAATAAAAACTTAATATTCTTCTCCACTATACCTAAAACCATTTTTTGTTGGACCCCTTTTACCATTTAACTCTGTATGTCTCATGCAGATTTTACCCCGTCTCGTGGTAACACTCCGGTCCATCAAGGCGTCCCCATGGGGTCTTCTAAGGTCAGCGCGGCCCCTTTTGAAGCCAGGACTCCTGGCACCGTACGGCCCGTACCTGCGCCATTTCCAACAGAAAAGAAAAGGAGTCTGCTTGATCTTTTCAAAGAGAGCATCAGAGACGATGACGAAGAAGAAGCTAACAACAATGCCATGGCCAGTGGGAGACCTGAGGTAAAGCAAGCCGCTCTAGACGTCCCTCCAAAATCCGCTCGCGATACCCCTTTTATCTCGGGAGCTAATTCCATGTGCAGCAGTGAAAGGACACCTAATAATGGAGATGCTGTAAATGATGTTCACAGACCAATGAGGTCTGTACAATGCTGTCTTCCAAGCTTGGTTGCTTGCCGTAGCTTTAGCGACCGGAAGAAGAAAATGAGCCCTGCCATTGCTGTAAATGGAGGACCTTGATTCTGAACCCTCTAGCATATACAATGTAGATGGAAAAAGCCAGGGGTCACAGAATCTTGGTTCTCATAAGAGTATAAACTAGTTCTTCAATACTCATCAAACTTCATATTACCTCTACCGGATCATGTAAAGTCTTAAGATCTCTTTGCCAAGGATAAAACACTGTTTGTGAAAATTTTGGCGTTCTTATGCATGCAAGAAGTGATGGGAGGAGATGGTTTACGTGTAATAATACCATCTTTTTTCATCTAAAGTTGAAGTTTCAATATTTGAAATCTCTTCTGAAGAGTGCTTGGTATGTTCCATTATTCCACAATACTCGTTGGGATCTCTCACGTGCCTATACATGCAAAAAGTTTACTAATTAGTACCGTCTTTCAAAATCATGATTGAATATGATCATGAGGATCGGTTTAAACGACAAGGTCTGTTATTAAATTGAATAAGAATGCTCATCTCTTTATGGGTTAATTGCATGGTACACCTTGAATTCATTGTGCTGGCACCTTCGATCTTGAACTTTTAATTTTGATAAATGAGACTTTAAATTTAAAAATCTGTTATGATTGTGGTCCAATAACTAATGGATGTCAGTTAATGGTCGTGAATGATCTAATTGTTTAAACAAAAATTATCTAAATATTTTGTTGTTGTTTCGCAACTTAGAATCTAAACTCTTTAAATTTTGGCATTTAGATCCATAGTTAGTGGAAGGATTCTGGATCCCGTGGTTATTTGGTAGAAGAGAAAAAGAATTAAGGAATGTATTTAGTGGGAGATTTTAAATCCTTCAAATAACTCCAATTTTAGGGCTTGTTCTTTTAAGTAAAAAACTCAACCAAAACAAAAAAAACAACTTGAGTTACAATTTTATTCGAGTTCATGTTCTTTTAAATTTAAACTCGAGTTCAAACTCGAGTTTATGACTAAAACTCGAGTTCAAGTTTCCCCTTCAACTCGAGTTCAGAAACTCGAACTCAAATTAATGAACAATATTTTTTCTATTCTTAAAAATGCTATAACTTTTTCGTTTTAATTCTGATTGAGATGATTTTTTTTCTATGCGTTGACAACGAAAAGACGAATAAAACCCGACCCATATACCCTATTAAAATTTTTCATCAGCATTGAGTTTTTATTAAAATACTATTTAAATACAAATTCAAGTTTTGACTCACTCAAACACAAACTCAAAAAGATTCGTATCTCAAACCATAACTCAAATGTACACAACCAAACACAAACTCAAGTTACAAGTTCAACTCAAGTTATAACTCAAATTCAACTCAATTCAAGAATTATACTCAAGTTAAACTTCAAAAGAACAAGCCCATATCTCAAATATGAAGAAACTAGGGGCCCGTTTGATAACGTTTTCAAAATGATTTTGTTTTTAAAAATGAGATTGTTTTGAGAATCATTATGGGACTGATTCTGAAATTGCATTTAGTTGATTTTTTAAGAGATTGTTTTGAATATAATAAAAAAGTGAAATCGTGTTTGGTTATAATTATTAATTAATAACATTGTTGATAAGTACTAGAAAATGAAAACAGAAAAGAGAAAATAACTTTCAATCATTTTCTAATTCCTTCGCAAAAATCATTCTCGTTGTTTTTTATTTTCATTCTTATTTTCAAAACATTTGCTAAATAAATACGGTTTACAAATCCTTTTCTTTTTTATGCCTCAAAAAATGTGCAAAAAGTTTTTAAAAACAAACAAAAATCAATTCTAAAGGAACCCTAGAGGACCTCCTCTTTATTTTTCCTCACCTAAATTAAATGTCTTTTTTCCTTTCTATTTCCTTTCTCTCTTAGCAAACATACTTTGGATTCTTTACTTGATATAGTCTATATGTTTATTGATTCCCTCCTGACATGGCTTCTTTTCGTACTAATAATATAGAAAAAAATAAATAAAAATATTTGCTATTTAATTTACCTTGTTAGTTTTATATCATTCTCTTGAAATTATGTCACTCTTATGTTAATTTCTAAAAACATAAAGGAAATAGTAAAGGAGACATTTTCTAATATTTAAAACAAACATAAATCTTTATGCTCTGTAATTAGAGTGGCATTCCTATAGATTTTCCAATAAATATGCATTTCAACCTCGATTTTGAAAACTCAGAAACCCCCTTGTCTGGATAATTTCATGATATAAGGCCCAAACCAATACAAACTCAAATAAGAGATGGGCTTGAAGGAGTTGATGGGCTTCTAGTTTCAACCAATGTAGGGTACGGAGAAAATTGAAAATTGACCCCTAATAAGTATATCAATTTAGATTTTTACTCTTTACTTTTAATAAAAACTATTTTATTAGTGTAATTATTTAATTAAAAAAGTTATAAATCAAAAGTAAAAGGTAAAACACTAATTCATGTATTTTTAAAGAATATTTGTTAAGATTACCCTTATGTATGTCTCTCATGGCTACTTATTTCTTTTATTTTGGTCGGGGCTTGCAGAAAAGAGTGCTGAAAGATATTTTTGTCAGAAAATTAGATAATCTGTCTCTTACTTCTTTAGTTTTGTATCATTCTCCTTAGAATTCCATCCTTCTTATGTTGATATATGATAAAAGAAACTCAGGGCAGAAATGGTATAATGTTTAAGAATAAGTTTTTTACAATAGAGTATTAATGCATTTTTTTAAACGTTAAATCAAGTTATAAAATCACACTAAATAAAAAAAATATAGACAAAACTGACATATACAAATCTAATAATTCAAAATAGAGCTCGTAGATTTTTTTTTTTTTTTTTTTTCATATCCTACCATACATGTTGAGTTTAAAAAAAGACTAAATCTTAAAAGTTCGGACAAAGAGATATCAACCCTATTAAATGATTGAAAGAACATGCACAACATGACACACACTTAGTTTTGTCTCCTTTTATTTTTAAGACCCACTCATCTAGTATCTAGATATGCTTCTTAAGGCAAACCATATTCCTACCAATGTGAAAGGCATACAAGTTCACCAAAAAGACCAAAGCTCCACAAAGAAAATAGGCGACCTTTTGGTCCGCACAAACGAGGGTACATATGCAATGATTCCGTTTCCCTTATGTGATTTTTTTTTTTTTTTTTGACAAAGTGGAAAATTTCATTCACTAAAAAAGAAATACAAACACAAGTGGCAAACAACTTAAGTTATAAGAGAATTTGACCCGGACCATTTAGTAAATCCACTATTAAAGACAAATACAACACATATGTGATGTACATTTTTTTTTTGTATTGCTGTTAAAGTTCAGAATTGAGGTGTGCACTATAGATAGAAATGAGTGCTCATTCCAAATGGATACTTGTAGACTTACATTTATAGGTTACTATATCCAACAACGATACTTTTTAAATTTTATGCTAAATTTTGGTATTTACAGTTTTAGGAAACTTTGCACGTTTTTCTTTTACGACACTCAGAATGCTACATATAGATTGTAGCCATTAACGTCATTTCTTTGATATACAAAGGTGATTTGAGCCGAGGAAAATGCAATTCCGTTTTGGACCCATAATTTTTGTTTTGATTAGCTACTTGAAGGCTGAGAAAACGTGTTGCAACACATATATTTGGATATTGCAAGTGGCAAAAAGGAGGATTCAGCCAATATAAAGTGGCAAAAAGGAGGGGCTTAGAGACCATCCTTTTGGCGAATGGCGAGTCCAGATGTGAATCAAATTGACAAATTGAATATTTGGGTTGCTTACGGGGAAACTATTTCTTTCGCTTGTTTTGTTACGACGTCGACGTGGAGTGTAGTTCTTGTCCTGGTACGAAGACAATGAATTGACTGACTTTTGTTGTAAGGTCATTGTGGGAATTTTACATTTGTAAATTCAATTATCATATGTTATTTATAACGGGAAGGGGCCGCTGATTTAGGGTCATTATTAAGGTGTGTAATTTTCTGTTCATAAACTCTTTTATTTTTATTTTTTTTTATTTTTATTTTTTATAATGAAGTTCTGCCACAATTGAAAATGGACTTATTTCAATAGCAAGGGTGAACCTTTAAAAATATTGTATGTCTTTTTTATTATTATTATTGATAGTACAAAATCTATTTTTTTTTATTTTTTATTTTTTTGTCGCCAATTTACGTTCCGTCACTCATGTCAATTTCTTCTATCACTATTCAAGATTAGTTAGATTATCCAATCAGAGCTCCATCTTGCGGGGGCATCATAAAGATGATTGATTATTTAAACTTAAATTAGTTTGTGTTTAGTTTATCCTTAATATTAAGATATTAATTAGTAGTTATCTTTTATTTTAAAGTTTGAATTATTAGTTATTAGTAGATAAGTCTTAATTTAAATTATTTGATATAGATTATTAGTATTAAATTCGATTTCAAATTCCTTCTGTAATTCTAAAAATATTGCACTCTCACCATTGTGCTTCAAATCTACTAGAATCAATGTCTAATTCTAAAAAAAGAAAAATAATAATAAAAACAAAAAACAAAACAAAACGGTGCATTAATGCTTTCTCTATACGTTGTTGTCGTTTCCTGTGGGACCAAGCTGAATTAAGGCAATCGTAATGTGGACCCCATTTTATTTTGGTTAGATACGCAACAACACGTAATAAAATCATCTTAATCTTAGTGGTAGTCCAGGACGGTCCACAGCCCAGCTAATCTTTGAATTTTGCAGTTCCAGAAATTTGCAGATCATTCCATGAAAAATTTCAAAGATCAAGTGGATTGATTGATGATAGATGATAAGGAAGAATATGACCCTTGTGGGACCCACGTCCTGCGTTCTCTAACCCCCTTCCCATTGCGGGAGAACGTGAAAAGCCTCGCACTTTCTTACAACAAATGTTGTTGTCTTAGTAGTCAGTTAAGGCAAGAAAAAGCCCAAGCAAAAGGAAAAGCAGAAAACTAAAGAAAGAGAACAGAAAACAGAAAAAGTTAAGCCAAGAAAGAGAACAAAAACAAAGCAGCTAGAAAGTAAGCAGAGAACAATGATGATGGTCATGATCAGCCATTGCGTTCCCACTATGATAATATATATCTCTATGTCTTTTCTTTCACTCCTATATATATATACACATACATATAAAGGCTTCTCTCTCAAAAATCTCAAAACCCAATTCATTGCACATAAAAGAAAACCATATAAAAAACCATAGTTTTATTATATGGCTTTCCGAGTCCTTTTCAGTATGGCTGCTTGGGGACTTTTGGCCTTGGTCTTGGTGGTCGAACCTCATGGCGTGCACAGCTTTGGCCGTGGCTGGTTTGGTCCGAGAAAAGGCGTCGTGGCTCCACCGGAGGCCGGTATATGCGCGGCATCGGTTCTTCCTTATGGCTACAAATGCCAAGAGATTGAAGTAAGTCCTTTCAGCTTACACAATTATTATTAAGTTATACTTTTTTGTGTTTTTCTTAAATATTTGTAGTACTAAACGAGTTTTGTAAAATGTTTATATATTTGTGATGAAGTAAAATGTGTTTGCATGGTAATTTAATTTTTGGATGACCAGGTGACAACTCAAGATGGCTATATTCTGAATGCGCAAAGAATCTCAGGAGGGCGAACTGGCCGGGGAAGCGGCCAAAAGAAGCCGCCTGTCTTGATCCAACATGGAGTCCTTGTGGTAAGTTCTACTTATGCATAAGCTAAAACATGAATCTCATTTTATTTTGAAGCTTTGTTACGTTACAAATATTGTTCATATTCCATGCATTTGATCAGTTTAATTTGTTGAGGGAAAAGGGATTATCAGATGTCAAGGCTTAAATCTTACTCCATGTTTGACAATAATGTTGTTATAAAAGGTTGTTTATAACCGCGTTTTGTTGCATATATATATATATATATGTATCTATATATATTATGGCGTTAAACATGGCTTTTTGAAGCCTCATAATTTTTGGCATGCCAGTACTAAATCTTTTTGGCCATTCTAGTGAAAAGTGGAAGGAGTACTATATAAATGGGGTCATTAACAGTTACGACGTTAAAGCACATTTTGGTTATAGGTGTTTGAATCATTCAGTTAAAGCAGTTGACTTGAGATAAAGTTATCGAAAAAGCCAACAATGAATGCAGTTACTTTAAAAGTTATTGCTTGATTTACGCTAGTGGAAATGGTTCTGCGGGCAAACTTTATAATATATACAGCATTTGTCTGCCGTTACTACCCAAAGTTGAACAGTATCTATGACTGCGTATGCATATATATATATATATATATTTTGAAGCAAAAAATAAATAAATATTTTTTTTTTTAATTAGGGTAAAAAAATATTTGTTTTAATATTAGTAGTAACGTTCATCTAGCAAAGCATTTAATTTTTTTGGCTGGGAAATAACAGTTAGTAGTTTATTCAAAAGCCCATAACACAGCCTTATCTAAAATCATTGTATTTGTATTGATTCACAGGCTATTAAAAATATATATACGTTTATTTATACATATTTATAGAAGGAATAGAGCTAATAAGGACTTCTTGGACTAATCCTAATTAACACACAAACGTAATATAATGGATATACCACAGCATATAGTTGACAAGTGCACATGAGAAGCTCCTAAGTTTGCCACGTTTAAGGGTATTCGGGTGTTCATGTTTTGTTCAAACTTTTTCGCTAGTGACTCATCGGAATGAGAAAAGTTGGTGTTTAAATTTCCAAGGTCTCTGCTTTAAGTTTTTTACTCTTAGAAAGGACAGAAGAGAAGGATCAGAGTCTTAGATGAGCCTGAATGCTTTAACAGTTTCGCAAAATCATGCACCGATTCTGGCATAATTCCATCGTTCCCAAATTCGAGATCTGCACCTCCTGCTCTCTCTTGTCGCTATTCACTTATCTAAACACTAAGAAAAAAAAAATCCCATTAACGTATATTATTTAACCGACATATATCCACAAAAGTTCTCTAATATATAAATTTAATATAATTAACTGAATGATTATTTGTTACTGATAAAGTATCAACAAAATTCTTCCTAGTATTAGTAAGATGCTAATAACCGTTAACTGAAACTTATTATGCTGCATGATAATTACGTAACTATGCTCAAAAGTAGGGTTTTTTTTTTTTGATCAAGTATAATAACTTGGGAAAAATTAGGAGTTGCATGCTTGTTGAGTTCCTGTGTCGTTTTGACTGCTGAAGGGGTAATGTCAATATCATATTTGGATATGCAGGATGGAATGACATGGCTTTTAAATTCACCAGAAGAAAATCTACCAATGATTTTGGCTGATAATGGCTTTGATGTGTGGATTGCCAACACCAGAGGAACCAGGTTTAGCCGCAAGCACAAAGCATTGGACCCTAGCAGACCGGTTCTTCTTCTACTCCCTATTTCTCTATTTCCTTTTTACTCTATTTATCTCTCCTTGTCTTCCTCTTTCCTGTGCTTTTTTCAATCATTAGCTAAAACTGCAACATATATAATAGCATTAATTATAGTTTATACGTAAGCAAAAAATGCTATACACACACATACACACACACACACGCCACAAGAGCATAATAGTTTTTTATATAAATGCGCTTTAGAACCGTTCGTGGCAATAGCATAATAGGTTGTGAATGTGTTATATGTGACAGAGGTTTTGGAACTGGTCATGGGATGAACTGGTGACCTTTGACCTACCGGCTGTTTTCGATTTCGTGTATAAAGAAACAGGGCAGAAGATTGATTATGTGGGCCATTCACTGGTGAGTGTTGAGCATGCATTATAATCAGATTGATCTTAGCAGATTTATTTTTCTCAAAAATGTTTAACACGTGTTTAATTGTCAGGGGACATTGATAGCTCTGGCATCCTTCTCAGAAGGGAGGCTAGTGAACCAGCTGAAATCAGCAGCCTTGTTGAGCCCAATTGCTTATTTGAGCCACATGAACACTGCTCTTGGAGTTGTTGCTGCCAAAGCCTTTGTTGGAGAGGTATGTCAGCTTTTTTTTGTGGCCCTTTGAAACGTGTCCAATTTTCTATGTCCCATTTCCTTTCCTATTCCCCTAATCATATTCGTCGCGTCAATTAAAATATTTTTAACTGAGCTTTTAATTGATATATGAAATTTTAATCGACGTGACATAATACTATAGGACGAATATGAACGTCAGACACATGAGCTGAATCCTTTGATGATTAACTCAATCTAAGAACATAACACTAAAGTACTATCTGGTTTTGCCTACAGATCACCACATTATTCGGCCTTGCGGAGTTTAATCCAAAAGGGTACGATCAAAAACTAAAAGACCCCGTACAGATTAATTTAAGCCCTTTTCAAGCTCTGGAATTTTTACTAATCTGTGAGGTTTATGATTAATTTCAGGGAGCCTGTGGCCAACTTTCTCAAAGGCCTTTGTGCTTATCCAGGAGTTGACTGCTATGACTTACTTAGTGCAATTACTGGTACTAATAGCTAATCTCTTTACTTAAGCAATATCTTCACATTTTGCTGACCACTCTTGAGAGAAATTCTAATACTAAGTATTTTCCTTAATTGATTGGTTTAAGGTCACAATTGTTGTCTCAATTCTTCAACTGTTGACCTCTTCCTGAAGAACGAGCCCCAATCAACATCCACTAAGAACATGGTTCACTTGGCTCAGAGTAAGTTCCTTTGTCCAATCCCATCTCAAACTGTTTCATGTACCAGTACTACAAAAAAAAAAAAAAAAAAAAAAAAAAAAAAAAAAAAAAAAACCTTTACTTAATTTTGTATGAAAATGTTACTTGAAAGCAAAATGAGTTGTACTAATTAACAATAAGTTAGTTGGAACGAAAAGAAGATCTGTGTAGCTTAGTTTGGGATATTGTTGCTTTTACACAAATAGTTACTTGTGAATAAAGCAAAATTAGAAACAGAGGTCCAAAATTCAAAATATAATAACTTCTCAAACAAGGCCATGTACATTTTATAACAAAAGAAATTAGACCTTCCTAAAAATGATATTATCAAACAAGTCCATATACATTTTATAATAAAAGAAATTTAGTGGTTGCAAGCGTACAACCTAACCGTAATTGCAACATGTAGATGACAACGACAAAATACATTTATGAAATTGATTATATAATGCAGCTGTGAGACATGGGATTTTGGCAAAGTTCAACTACGGGAGACCCGACTACAATGTGTTGCACTACGGGGAAGCCAGTCCTCCTGTTTATAACCTCTCCAACATCCCTCACAACCTTCCGCTTTTCATTAGCTATGGCGGCCGGGACGCGCTTTCCGATATTCGAGACGTAGGGCTTTTACTTGATAGTCTCAAGCACCATGATGTGGACAAGATGACTGTTCAGTTTATTAAGGATTATGCTCACGCGGATTTCATAATGGGAGTGGACGCCAAGGACATTGTCTATAATGCTGTAGTGTCGTTTTTCAAGCACCAACACTGAACCTCAGCGAGGGAGGGTCAGTTTATGATAAGGAAAAAAAAAAAAAAAAAAAAAAACTCATTATAAGATCAATTATATGATAATGAAACTACTACTAAGTTTTAAGCAAAAGAACTACGTGCTTAATGAGAAATCTAAATTTATTTTGAAAAATGTTGAACATTTGTTTTTGCAAGGACAGTTCATAGGAAGTGGATCAGAGAATTGTGCATGTTTTGTTTACTCTTTTATCGTATGAATCAATCGAGGAAAAGACTTGTCATAAAGAGAAAAGAAATACCAATTTAAGTAGGCAAATAAAAGTTCTATTGTCTTGTTCATTCATGACTTTCCCATTCCAAGTTCATGTCGTTTTATAAATTTCTAAATTTGTCATCTCTTTGTTTTGATGTCGTTTACAAATTGTTGTTTAATGGTAACCTCGATTGTATATTGTCGATGTTTTCAATATCATGTCATTTAGCCTGTCATCTCTCTCCTTTATATTGTTTCCTCAAGTTATTGTCGTTGTCTTCTGATGTTGCTTGCTGTTGTTCCACCATGTGATGTCGTTTTTCATTTAATTGCCGTTTATGTTGTGAATGTCGTTTTTGTAGTCTCTTGATTTTGAATGTTGTTGTCGTTTAAATGTTATTGTTGTTTATCTCATTCAACGTGTTTAAAGGTCATTGTCGTTTAACCATGTGAGCAATTTTTTTCTTTCTTTTTTTATTTTCCGTTTTAGAATGGCATTGCAATTTTTCCCCCTCTTAATTCTCGTATTTCTTATTACGTCGTTTATGTATTATTGCCGTTTTGTTTTAGTTGTTGTCGATTTTAGTTTTTTGTTGGTTTCTTTTGTTACCTTTTCTTGCTTTGGTGTCCTACAAAGAAGGTCGTTTTTCAAGTTTGTCGTTCTTACGTTTAATTTAGTTTTAGTTATTGCCGTCGAATGTTTAATGTTTATGTCGTTCACATTTTTCTTTTCCTTTCTTAGTTTCTGTCAATTTTTTAGGTCGCCTTTTATTTCTTATTGTCGTTTTTACCTTTTGTCGCATTGTTTCTTATTTAATTGTATTTTTACACTCGTCATTTTTTTTAGTTTAGTTTTTTTTGCCGGGAAAGGATTCATTTTTTAGTTTTGTCTTAGCTACTAGCACGTGTGGTTTATTTATTTCCCTTTGTACTTGCCATCTTTATCAGGTTGTTGTCGTTTGTTAGATTTATTGTCGTTTTCTTTCATGTCGTTTCCACTTTCGTTGTCGTTTCCCTTACGCCCTATTATCTTCTATCTCCCCTGTGTTCTTGTGCCTCAAACCTCTCCGGCCTCCGCTTTGGCACCACAGCCGCCACCTCAATGACGGAAATGGTGGCAACGGAGAGTGTGTTTCTTCGCCACTAGACTCCAATGCGTTTAGTTTTCAGGTTAAACAAAATTGATCATGGCCATTTCTCTACAACACCAAGGGAGAAAGTTGAAACAGCTGAATGGTTTGCAAATCCTGCCAACCCCAAAACAAAATGACGAACGATGTCGCCAACCAAATCTAGAACATTCTCGAAGCATGACGGCTTCGCTGGCAAGATGAGAGAAACTAGGAAAAAAAAAGAGGAAATAATATGTAATATATAGTAGAGATGAGGTCAAGGTGTATATTCTATGACTTCCAAACCATATCATAAATTAATAATATTCTTGAAAGCAAAGATACCCAGCTGTTTAATAGTTATGACGTTTCTTTCTATTTCTATATAAACAAAATATTAAAAAACAATTGAGCTTCCTGGTTAGTCGTTAAGAGAAACATGAGAAGTACTCTTCGTATCTTTGTTTGAACTCCAAGCTTGCACGACCTTTAACTAACTAACTTTTGCTTTTCGGACAATCCAAAATCATGAAACGTATTTTTAAATTTTTTTTTTTCACTTCATAAACTTGAACCCCTTATTCGTAACTAAATTACAAAGATGCCCAAGCTTGGCTTACCCAAAATTTTGTCCACTATGGCAATACGGTAAAATAAAACGGCCCTTAATGTAGATCCTACGAAATCCATCAAACTTGGGTTGTTAGCATTTATGACTATGCTTCCATCCTATGATTTTAAAGGAAGCCACTATAAATGCTTTGGGTGTTTACACGTGACATCTACAAATAATTGCACTAATTACAGCAATAAGAAAAGAAGCTCAAATCTAATAACCTGAAAGGAAGCAGAGAAAAGGAAGAAAAAATGGGGCCTAAGAACACATTCTTCTTTGTATTAGTTTTGGTAGTTTGGATGACAAAGCAAGCTCAATCAGCACAACATGTTGTTGGTGGAAGCCAAGGTTGGGATGCATCCACGGATTTCAACTCGTGGGTTTCTGATAAAACATTCAAGGTTGGAGATCACCTCGGTATGTATTTCCTCTTGTTGCTGCACTTTGATAATCAAATCACCCAATTGTCTGATAGGGTTAATGTCATTTTCAGTCTCGGAATATAGACCAAATTCTCGTTTTAGTCTTTGACTTTTAAAACAACGCGAGATAAGTACCTTATGTGATTTAGAAAAAAAGTAGAGTTTGTAACTTTATATTGTTAGTGAGCTAGTGTTTAGAAGGAAGTCATGTGCTTTTCAGTTAAGATTTTAACAGTCGGATAAAAATGACTAATTTAAGACAATTTGTTAGATCGAGTATTCATATTCTATTCGTTTTACTTTTTTAATATTCATAACCTATATTATTGTTATTGGTCTCTGGGCAGTTTTTAAGTATTCGGCACTGCACAGTGTCGCCGAATTGGCTAACGAGAACGCCTACAAGAACTGTGAAATTAGCAGTGCACTTGACTCCAAGAGCAGTGGCAATGATGTGGTGAAATTGAATAAGCCTGGAACTAGATACTTTGCTTGTGGTACCTCGGGCCATTGTCAAGGAGGAATGAAGGTAAAGATCACAACCGTCTCCGGAAGTGCGCCTTCTACTCCAGCATCACCCTCGTCTTCATCTTCGTCTTCGCCTTCTTCTTCTCCAACAACCAGTGATAATCACACTTCTGTGGCTTCTAGCACTTATCATTCTTTTGGTGCAATTTTTGTTCTTGCGGCTTTACTCTTGGCTTCCCTTTTGCATCTTTGAAGCACTTACTGGGGTTTTTTCTCTTGTTGCTTACAATATTTTCGGGTGTCTTGTTGCTTACTGTGTAATTTGTTGAGACTGTGAGGTTGAGTATTCATTATTGTTTTGATTAGTGTTGTTGAAGAGGGAAAAATTAATAAAGTTGCTGAGAGTTGTATCGGCCTAATCTTCTATAGAGCTATGCCAAACCGTTGATTTTATAATGGACACAGACTTTTGAGCTTATTCACTTTTGAGGCTAAAATGGTGGAATTTGTTTTACTTCTTTGCTAAGAAGGAATTTTGCACCACCAAAGGAGTTTATATACATGATATGGGAATTGTGCAGAAATGCCACCAAAAGGATAACCTATCATTGATGCAAATTTATTTTAATAAATTGAACTATGATTCATACGTTTGTCTAGAAATGATTGTTGACGAATATAGGCTGAAAAACCGTTACTGAAAATCCAAAATATTCAAGTTCCGGATTAGTCTAATCTAAGAGGCTGTTACTATTGACACTCAATAGCCTTAAACCGGCCTAACGCAGCAGCTGACACTTAGAAAGGAGGTGCTCCGTACACAGTTGCTTAGCTGGGGTCATCTCATGCGATGTTTGTTTCATGTATTCGTCTTTGATTCTAAATCATAATTCATAGTTTTCTACAGTGATTTTTGCTAAAAAAAACACGTAAAACGAGAATAGTCATGAATCATGATTCTAAATATATAAACTAAACGTATGCTAACTCTTCCTACTCATTCACACTCGATAGAACTCTGATTTAGACGTCAAAGTGCCTATGGTAAACACCACATCAGTGTCCCCTAACTCCAGAGCCCAATCATTCTTTGGTGCAGACAGGTGTTCTCAAGAAAGAATATAACCGACCAAAAGACCAATCAATCTAAGGCAAAAGAGAAGCGTTTGAACACCGTGTGCAGCCGCACGTGAGTATTGAGTGAGCAAAGACATCAAAAATCTCTCTCCTCTTTTTTCTTTCATTTTTTATTATTTTCCCAAGAAGAGGAGATTATCCAAATAGAAATCAAATTAATGCATATTGCTTGGCACACCAACCTTAAGGCTAAAATGTATGTATATAATAAAACATATAAATATAGGCTTTATTCAATTGGTGAATTTAAATTGAGATATAATTTTATATAAATATTTTTTATTATAAAAAAAATTAAATATAATTTTTTATATAAATTTTTAACTGTAATAAAATTAGAATTAAAAATTTAAATGAGTAAAATTAAGGAGGCTGTAAAATATAAAAATGGAATCGAAAAAAAACATTAGTCGCGTGACATTTGTGGATCGTCCAAAACGCACGGTCTCAGTTGCCCTCCGCTGAACTTCATTGAACCAGACGACGCCTGTTCTTCCCCTACTGCTCCCAAAAACATTTATAAAAAGGGGAGGGAAAAAAAAAGGCCATGCCGGAAGAGACGAAAGCAATTGACTACGTGATGGAGGCGGCGTCTGGGCCCCACTTCTCCGGCCTCCGCCTCGACGGTCTCCTCTCTTCTCCGCCGCCGTCGTCGTCCTCCTTCTCCCCCTCGCACCGCTCCTCCGCCTCCGCCTCTTCCGCTTTCGCCGACTCCAACGCCCCACGGCAGCCCTTCGTCATCGGTAACTTCGCAAAGTTCATCTCCCTTTTGCTTCCTCAACCTCAAATTTGGCTTCAATTCGCTTCTCGTTTCATCAATTTCGTTTTCTGCTTCCTGATTTGGTCGTAATTGTTGTTGTTTTTGGTGAATTTGAGCTGAGTAGGTGTTTCGGGAGGTACGGCCTCCGGTAAGACCACGGTCTGCGACATGATAATCCAACAGCTTCATGATCACCGCGTCGTGCTCGTCAATCAGGTGATTGTGGTTTTCACAGCTTCTTCGACTTTTTCTGCTTACTTTACTTCCTTTCTCTTTACTGTTAGCTTGTACATTTTTTTATTTTCTGATAGATTAGTTTGCGCTATTTTTTTCAGGATTCGTTTTACCGTGGTTTGACTCCTGAAGAATCCGAACGCGTACACGAGTATAATTTTGATCATCCTGGTAATATTCACCTTTATGATTCCTATGTAATTATGTGGATTTAGGTGCTAAACGCAATTTTTCTGTTTTGTTGGGTTTTGTTTAAACTTTGGGAATTTTGTTAATTTGTATGGTCTTTTATCATAGATGCTTTTGACAATACTGATTACTGAACAACTTATAGATTGTAGTTACTGTTCATAATTTTATTTGAATTATCCGGATTAGGAATTAGCTATGGAAAGTGTATTTTTTCTGTTTTGTTGGTTTTTCTGTAGAGAACGTTTTGTGCAATATTTTTTTTTTATTTTTATTTTTTCCATTTCATAGATGCGTTCGACACTGAACAACTTCTAGACTGTATTATAAAGCTCAAGTGTGGACAATCTGTCCACGTTCCTATCTATGATTTTAAGGAGCATCGACGCTCTTTGGATAGCTTTCGGCAGGTACTCAAAATTATTTTTCCTTTTGATCCGTGGAAATTTTCCTTCCCATAGTCTTAACACATTTTGACTGAATTCTTTTCAGGTTAATGCTTCTGATGTTATTATATTGGAGGGGATTCTAGTTTTCCATGACCAACGCGTCCGCAATCTGATGGACATGAAAATTTTTGTTGATACAGGTTTTAGTTCCTTCTCTATGGTTACTTACCATGCAATTTATAATGCGGCGTTCTTACTTGTGGCTTTCGCTTCTTTTAGTTTTTTCATTGCTACCGTGCTATACTTGGCATGGCCACCACGATCTTCTTGTTGTATTAACATTTTTTTCCAACTTTTCATAATAGTTGCTGGAGTAGTCTCTTTAGTTGATTACTTAATTGATTATGATACTTGAATGCAGTGGAGTACCGAGTCCGTAAGGAAAGAAATGAAAACTGTGACGTTATGATATTCATATTTGAAGTTACCTGTATAATATATGAAAGTGATCCCTGTCCTCATGCTTGCCTGCATTGTGTTCTGCCCAATATTTGACTTCTGTATTTTTTATATCATGTATATAGATGCTGATGTAAGGCTTGCTCGTAGAATAAGGCGAGACACAGTTGAGAGGGGTAGGGACGTAAACTCTGTCCTTGAACAGGTAATCCCCTTTACATGATTTTTATATTTCTTTGGATATAGCTAAAACCTTCTAGGAGTTTTGGATGGATACTTCATTCAAAGGAGCTGTGAATATCTATATTAAGAATAGGATCTACTGCAAATGCTGCTTATCTTGCGGAATTGTGGTATAGACAAATGCAATAGCTGAGTAGAGAGATGTCCTGATATCTTACAAATACTAGGGTTTTTTGTGGGTTATCTGGAGCCTTCCAACATCTTAAAAGCAGCAACTGGCTCTCAGTTCACCACATAAGAGGGAAAAAATAAGGTTATGTAGATTCAAGTTAGAAAGAGTGTTACTGGCATGTCTTTATCATCATAGATCTCCTAACAGCATCTTTCTATTTATTGTGCAGTATGCTAAGTTTGTCAAGCCTGCTTTTGATGATTTCGTTCTCCCATCCAAGAAGTATGCTGATGTGATCATTCCCCGTGGAGGTGATAATCATGTTGCTATTGATTTGATTGTGCAACATATTCACACAAAGCTTGGCCAACACGACCTTTGCAAGATATATCCCAATGTTTATGTTATTCAATCAACATTTCAGGTACATATTCTGCTTTCAATTTGGTATCATAAAATCAACCTTTATCTTCTTTCATCTTGGAGAACAAAATTCTATGAATCTGGTAGTGAGAGATTAAAAGGAGTAATGCATCTTTATTTCTATTTCTAGATTGTGGATCTGATGGAAATATCACCTTCTTCCCCTTATAATCAGCATTGAATAGTTACAGAATTTAGCTGCAGATTTTGGAGCAATACAGTGCTGCTAATCTTTTCAGTTTCACATCAACTGTAGAAGTCTTCAAACATTTTTGAAAATAGTTTTCTTGCACTTTCTCGTTGAGCTTGTAGCATTTAATTTTTCCCTCACACGCTGCCGTCTGATACACTTTATGGATTCACATTGAGCTGTTAATGATCCCTTTGGTTATCTGATGCTACAGATTAGAGGAATGCATACACTGATTCGAGATCGAGATATATCAAAGCATGATTTTGTATTTTATTCGGATCGACTTATTCGCCTGGTACTTCCCTGATTTGATTTGGCTCTGCCAAATTTCAACTGTTAATTATTTAATCAAGTCCAATGAAGGTTTTGCGTTGAACCCTCAGGTTGTGGAGCATGGACTTGGGCATTTCCCATTCACTGAGAAGCAAATCGTAACTCCAACAGGTTTTCAATTTTTTTCTTCTAACGATCCTTCTTTCCTATGCTCACTATTTGCTTGTCTTACTAACATTTTTTGTTTACGTGATCATGCATTTTTCTTTTTCCTTTTTTTTTTTGGCTAGAAAAACTTGTCAATGCAAATAAAAATTTTGTGGGTTGGATCCCTATGTGCATGTGCGCTACTATGTTGATGTGCTTGTTTGTGTGAGGCATGAATTTGTGCCAGGATATTTTGCGTGTCATCTTAAATTATCTTGTCTAGAGTCTTTAGATCCAAAAATGGGAATTATTCTGCCTGTCTTTAATATGTACTCTTAATTATCTCAGGATCAGTATATACTGGGGTTGATTTCTGCAAAAAATTATGTGGGGTTTCCATTGTTCGAAGGTGAGCTTTATGCCAGGTACTGATTTGTCAGTTCTTGCTAACTGGCAATAAGACCTTTTCGTTTGAATTATGCACAGTGCTAGTGCCTGTTCCGGTCTTATGCTGTAAAAACGTGAAAACCCTCATATGCTGTCTGCAGTTCAATTCAGAATTTATTTATTTTTTATTGCAATTTCAATGCCTTCAATTGTATTGCTTTGAAAGCTCTCGTTGCTCATTGTGTCAGTGGTGAGAGCATGGAAAATGCATTACGTGCATGTTGCAAAGGAATAAAAATTGGAAAAATCCTAATTCATCGGGATGGAGACAATGGGAAACAGGTAGAGTTTTGACTGCTTTTTTACCAAGATAATATGTGCTGGGGCTAACTTGTCTTTATGAAAATTTTCCGACGTTTTTAGTAACTAAAGTTACTCCAACTTAAGCAGCTTATATATGAGAAACTTCCCAAGGACATTTCAGAACGTCATGTCTTGCTTCTAGATCCTGTTCTTGCTACAGGTAACATTTTCAATTTCCTTTTATAATATTTATTTTTGGCTACTTATGCACTGATGTTTCCTTTGTTATTTTTTTCTTAATGCTAGTTTTTATGGAAAAGTTACTTTTAATCAAGCTGAGTAGCTGTTAATACTTTTCAAATTTCTCATATGTGTGTCACCTTGTCATTTCATCATTGCTCATAACCGTAGGCCAAAGTCACTTTTCTGGAAAAGAAGTGCAAGCAAGAAACTAAATATAGTGTTTAAGAGAAAAAGAAGAAACGAACAAAATGAAATGCCAGTGAATGATTTTTGTTAATTTTACTTTTTCTTTCCTGGAAAAGGGTTAGTGAACGATGATTTGTTATTTACTTGGCATTTTTGCCACATAGCTCTCTGGGAAACTTGTTTAAAGAGATTCCAACTCTTCAACTACTTACTCTAGTGAAATGTTGGGTTACCCATTTCTCTAAAAACTTAAATTATTAGCGGTTCCATTGCAACTTATAGTTTTAGCTAAACTATTCTTGCATATTACTCGGTTTCTATGTTGCTGTTTTTAATTTCGTTTTCAGATAGATGTCATGTGGTCTTTTCTATAGTTTTTTAGTGTCGTTTTTTGATTCATGTTTTGTAGGGTTATTGTCATTTTTATTCGGATGTCATTTTGTATTGGTTTCGTATTCTGTTTTGATGTCGTCTTCAAATTGCTGGTTTCTATAGTTGGTCAGTCTCTGTTTATTGTCGTTTTTCCTTTGTTGGTTTTTGCCGTATTATGTTTTATGCTTGTCTTCATTGTTGTCGTTTTTAACTTTATGTGTCATTTTTATTCGGATGTCATTTTGTATTGGTTTCGTATTCTGTTTTGATGTCGTCTTCAAATTGCTGGTTTCTATAGTTGGTCAGTCTCTGTTTATTGTCGTTTTTCCTTTGTTGGTTTTTGCCGTATTATGTTTTATGCTTGTCTTCATTGTTGTCGTTTTTAACTTTATGTGTCGTTTATTCTGGTCGTCATTGCTGTCATTTTTTGTAACTTTATGTGTCGTTTTCCTCGGTTGGTTTTGTTCCGTAAATTTTTAATTTATTAGGTGGCTCTACATTGTTGTTGCCTATATTCTTGGCTAAATTATCGTTGCATATTTGATGATCGAAAACTCACCTCAGTGTTTTCCTTGCAGGTAATTCTGCTAACCAAGCAATTGAGTTACTGATACAGAAAGGAGTTCCAGAATCTCACATTATATTCCTCAACTTAATTTCTGTGAGTTGTATTCTTGGTTCTGGTTTCAAATGCATATTGCATACTTCTGTTTTTACTCTCAAAAGACTGATTTTATTATCTTATTGCGGTTCTTTCACCCTCAGGCTCCTGAAGGAATCCATTGTTGTTGCAAGCGATTCCCATCCTTAAAGATTGTTACTTCAGAGATAGATGTTGCATTAAATGAAGAGTTCCGTGTGATTCCGGGGTTGGGCGAGTTTGGTGATCGCTACTTTGGTACAGATGACCAATGAAAAGCACAAAGAAAAATATTGCGACTGATCAGACTATCCAATAAGCTTGGCCTTTTTTTTTTTCTTCTTTTATTTTTTCATATCCTACATTGTTCAGAGAATTGACATGGTGACTAAATATTATAGTTTCACCATGCATGAGTTGTGTCAACTATCAAGTTGTGATCTGCCTAATGAATAACATATGTGTATTCCCAATCAATTTCTAGAAGTCATATTTCCTATAGACGGATCGTTTGGAAGAGGTCTAGTGTTGCAACAGAGGTAATTTAGCAACGACAACACTTGAAAGGAAAGGGTTATTACTGAGACTTTGTGAGAATAGTTTATAAAACGGTTTTCACGTATTTTGAGAAGCAAAAAATGAAAATAAAAATAAAACGATTTTATTAGTACTTATCAATAATATTATAATATATTAATTAATAATTATAATTTTATTTTTTTATTATACTTAAAATAATCTTTTAAAAAACTAACTAAACGTAATTTTAAAATTGATTTTAAAATAATTCTCAAAATAATCTCATTTTTACTTTTTATTAAAAATAAAATTAGTTTAAAACCAATTGTAAACGCTTGATTTTTCCTTTTATTTAACAGAATTCATTTAAGATTATGAAGTTTAAGATGCAATGACGTCAGATCCCGGACTTCAAGACTAGCAATTTTGTAACTTTGTTATAAAAATTGTCAGCCATCTCTTGATAAAAGTTAACAAAAATCTTAACCAAGAAAGAATCGTTTTCAAGTTTCGTTAAACTGTTAGAAAACTGAAAAGCATATACGTCTAGAAAAGATGCGATATACTGCTGTCTTACTCGATATGGCACTCCAAGCTGTTTTTTAACTGCATAGTAACCCCTACTAGGGGTGGCGTGGTTGAGGGATGTCCCAATGAGTACGAAATCCATAAATTTCCAGAGCATGAATGCTATGGGACTTCCAAATGGCCTTCACATTGGAATATACAAGATAAGAGTTTTAATTACGGCGTTTTTTTTAATAAAAATTTAAATTTAATTCTTTTATTGTAATATTTTTTTAACATAAATTTACTTTTTAATTTAAATTTTTAACGCAAAAACAACTGGACCTTTGGGTCATTGACCTCAAGTTATCCTCGTACTAGAAGCACGAGTGCAGGTAAAAAAGTTTGTTCCCTTCTGGTTCACGTTGCAACTACTAAAAGTCAAGCGTTTTGAGCTTTCATCATACCTTAAATTGTCCGGTCAAGTCCTCCGTGGAAAAATAGAAAGAAAAAACGCAAAAAGTGAATTGGGACGGAAATTGTTCATCATTCATACCGTGAATTAGATTCTAAAATGCTCGACTTCTATTGAGTGGCTGACTTTTCAATTCATATCCGCAAAAGATGCCAAACGTATACTCCGGAGTATATGATTTTTATTTTTTATTTTTTACTATTGCCAAAAAAAAATGCAGTGAGAAGTTAGTGGCTTCATAGTCCTCGGAAACATGTGGAATATCTAGTGTTTTTTTTTAACATAAAATTTTAGGCTAGTTTCCACCCCACACAACCAAAGTCCAAAGTTATTTCAAGTACTTTAACACTTCCAAAACGCTTTGAAATCCAATAGTAAAAAGCATATACACGCATTGACTGCAAGTCGTTGCGGGAAATTTTTCCCCCCTACAAAATGGCCATGAATGGGTCTCCAAAAGAAATAACTGAAAATCCCATTTGCATGCTCTCTCGCAATAGAAAATGGGAAAAAGCACCACTGCTTTCATTAAATTTCTTTTATTAGTTCTTACAGTTCTATGTGGAACTTTGTCCATTGAAACCATTAAGCCGGTGTCCTGCCTTGGCCATCTTGATCACCATCATGTTGGCTGCATAGATATCGAGAAAAAAGCGCTTCTCAAGTTCAAACAACGCGTAACAGGCCCTTCAGGCCGGCTCTCATCTTGGGATGTAGGAGAAGATTGTTGCCAATGGAGAGGAATAAGGTGCAACAACGCGACGGGACGAGTGGTGGAAATCAAACTTGGCAATCCTCATCAACCAGAGAATGCATTAAGTGGTGAGGTCAACTCGGCTTTGCTCGCTTTGAAGGACTTGAATCACTTAGACTTGAGCATGAACAACTTCAATGGTTACCCGATTCCATACTTCATTGGATCACTAGAGAATCTGAGGTACCTCAATCTTTCTGGCGCATCCTTTGGAGGAACTATTCCTCCAAGCCTTGGCAACCTATCAAGATTGAACTATCTTGATCTCAAAAATGTCTACTTTTCGTCGGAGGAAAGTGACCTCAACTGGCTTTCTGGTCTTTCTTCTCTAAAGTATCTTGATTTGGGAGGTTGGAACCTGGCAAAGGCTGCAACAAATTGGCTTCAAACTGTTAATATGCTCCCTCAACTTTTGGAGCTGCACTTGTCCGGTTGCGATCTTTCAAACGCTCCTTTCACTCTTCCTTTCATCAATTTCACATCTCTTTTGGTGCTTGATCTCTCAAACAATGGCTTCAAAACCAAAATACCTCAATGGCTATTCAATCTCAGAAGTCTGACTCATCTTGATCTCAGCTCCAACAACTTCCAAGAAGCACTTCCCGAAGCGATTGCTAATTTGGCTTCGCTGCAGAAGCTTGACTTGTCAGAGAACAACATAGGAGGTCAGTTGCCAAGGAACTTGGGAAAGCTATGCACTTTGCAGAGTTTGAAGCTTTCTGGAAACCAATTCGTCGGTGAAATAACCGATTTCACCAACAATTTTTCCAGGTGCTCCAACAACAGCTTGGAGACATTAGATTTGGGATACAATCGATTCACGGGAAATCTGTCTGATTCTTTAGGATTTTTTGAAAGCCTGAAATATCTTCAGCTATGGAAGAACTCTTTTCAAGGTTCGATCCCGGAGTCCATCGGAAACTTATCATCCATTCAAGAACTTTTCTTGTCATATAATCAAATGAGTGGCGGGATTCCTAAAAGTCTGGGGCAGCTCAAAACACTGCGTGTGTTAGAAATGAGTGAGAACAATTGGGAAGGTGTCATAACTGAAGACCGTTTGGTGAATCTTTCAAGCTTGGAGGAGGTAAAAATCTATAAAGACTCCCCAAATATTTCCTTGGTTTTCGACATTAGTTCTAATTGGGTACCTCCATTTAGACTCACATACATTGAAATTAGATCTTGCCAACTGGGTCCCAAATTTCCTCAGTGGCTTAAAAATCAAAGTCATTTGACCACGGTGATACTCAATAATGCTAGGATTTCAGAGGCCATACCAAACTGGTTTTGGCAACTGAATTTGGAGCTAAACAAACTAGATGTTTCTTATAATCAAATAAGCGGTAGGGTGCCAAACTCATTAAGGTTTAGCGACATTTCCACTGTCGACTTGAGTTCCAACCGCTATGAGGGTCCTCTACCCCTCTGGTCACCAAACCTTACCAAACTCTATTTGAGGGACAATCATTTTTCTGGTCCAATTCCTCCCAACATTGGTGAAGTAATGCCCATGCTTACAGATTTAGACATCTCTAGGAACTCTCTAAGTGGTAGAATTCCCTTGTCAATTGGTAAGCTGACTAACTTGAACACCTTGGTAATCTCAAACAACCAATTAACTGGTGAAATTCCTTGTTTCTGGGACAACATGCCATTCTTGTACATAGTTGACATGTCAAATAACAGTCTTTCCGGTACTATTCCAAGATCAATGGGCTCTCTTCAGTTCATCGAGTTCTTGATATTGTCGAAGAACAATCTCTCAGGTGAACTTCCTTCCTTGAACTGCACCCACATGGTTAGTCTCGATCTCGGAGAGAATAAGCTTTCTAGCAATCTTCTAACTTGGATGGGAGAAAGCACGGCCTCTTTGATGATTTTACGGTTGCGTTCCAACTTCTTCACCGGAGGCATTCCTCCACAACTGTGTGGCCTTTCCAATCTTCATATATTGGACCTCTCACACAACAATCTCTCTGGTCATATACCCCATTGCATTGGCAATCTGAGTGGCTTGAAGTCTAGATTAACAGAGGCAGATACAGCACAATACCAAGGACGCTTGGAAATAGTGGCCAAAGGAAGAGTGCTAGAATATTACTCCACTCTATACCTTGTCAACAGTTTTGATCTCTCATACAACAACTTATCAGGAGAGATTCCTACGGAGTTAACAAGCCTAATACAAGTAGGCACACTCAATTTGTCTATGAATCGTTTGACAGGCACGATACCACCCAAGATCGGAAACCTTAAAAGGCTTGAAACTCTTGATCTCTCCATGAACAACCTCTCCGGCCCTATTCCACAGACCATGTCTTCTTTAACATTTTTGAATCATTTGAACCTCTCATACAACAACTTGTCAGGAAAAATCCCAAGCACCACTCAGTTTCAGACCCTTGGTGACCCCTCCATATATCAAGGAAATGCAGGTCTCTGTGGGGACCCTTTACCAAAAAAATGTGATGGTAGTGACCAAAAGTCTGATAGTCCTGGAGAAGATGAAGAAGACAAGGATGGTGGTGATGGAGGTGCCATGGAAAAGCTAGGCTTGATTATCAGCGTGGTGATTGGTTTCTTTGTGGGATTTTGGGGAGTTTGTGGAACTTTGATTGTCAAGCAGTCTTGGAGAGAGGCCTATTTTGGGTTTGTTGAGAGAGTGAAGAACAGAGTGGCTGTGGTTTTTATGTTTGTCAAAGAGAAAGCACCTTGGAATTATTAAGAAGGCAGAGAACATCTGCAAGCATGTGTACTAAAACTAGGATTTCGATCCATATATATGAAATAAAGCAACGGTTTTGTTGTGCTAATCTAGTGTTTTAAAATTGTTGTTTGTTGTCATATATAAAAAAAAAAAGTTTTTTATTCTTGAATTCTCTATAATCTATATCTATACATGTAAATTATAATTTTTACACTTCAAAAAAAAAAAATCAGTACTTTATGTTTAGGAATTTTTTTTTTTTCAAAATAATTTAGTATTTTAATGACTTAAACCTTCAAAAAGAGGGCATGTCAGTTACATGTCTGTATTTATGTTTGAAAATTTACAGAAGCGTCAAAATATGAGTTTGGTGATCCATAAATCAAGATCTTCGAAATGGGAACTTAAGTGTTAAACGTCGAAAAATTTGGGGACCTGGTTAAAATAACATTGAATTTTAAGGCATTTAACAGAAAAACTAAATGGGGACTAACGGCTGCAAAGGAAATGCATGTTTGAGGATCCAAATGACGAGATTTTAAATTTATATTTGAGCATCATAAGTTGAAACTTTTGGGGATTTATTTATAGTGCAAATTTCTCTTTTTTGAAAATATATTCTCTCTTTTTTTATTATTGTTTTCCTTTATGTTAATGTAAATATACCTAAATTTAGTGTGAAGCACACGTGGGGCGTATGTATTATTCCTCTCTGAATTTAAACCGACATTATCAGTTTAACTAAATTTTTAAAGATTTAATTATCAATATAGAATTATATTTACAAAAAAATTATCAATATAGAATTATCAAAAAAAAATTATCAAGATATATAGAAAAGAAAAATGTTGTAACTGTCCAAAGTTAAAAGCTGGTAGACTCATAAAAACGACACACACACACACAACGCAAATTACCCTCATAAAAACGACAACAGCCAAGCTCAGGGTCCGATCGGCCCCCGACCCGGTATTAACACTTTAGCATATGTTTTTTAATTTGCTATTTTTTTTATATAAAATTAAGACATTATATTATCCCTTCCCGCCACAGAGGAGAGGAGGAGAGTCCGTACACCACCGCTGGAACAATGCATCTGTGCGTGCCGTCAGCTCGGCCGCCTCCTCCACTTATCAGCTGCCACGCGTCCCCAGCCGCCGTCCGCACCGCCACTTCCTCCCGTTCGCTTACTTCACCTCCTCTTCCTTCTGTCTCCCTAAACCCTAACTCAACCCCACCATCCCCGCTAACCTGCGCCCTTCACTGCCCCCACTTCCAATCGTGCGCCCCCCCTCCTCTCTCTCTCTCTCTCTCTCTCTCTCTCTCTCTCTCTCTCTCTAAATTTCCAAACTTTTCTTCTTCAAAACATTATGAATGACAGTGATTTCTTCGTCATTTTCTTCTTTTTTGTTGTGAAAATTCAGGTGCTCCGGGTGCACTCACGAGTTCGATCTTCACCGGCCGGCCATTCTCGACGAAGCTTCCGAGTTCTTCCAGAACCTCGGCGTCTCCGACTTCACCTTCGATAGCTGTAAACTGGTAGTTAAACGAGTTCAATTCAATAATCTCCGAGTTCAGTTATAGTCGAAGCTCTCTTAATTTCGCAGAGAAGAAAAAAAAAATGTGAAAAAGGTTGGTTTTGAAGATGATTCTTCTATTAAATTTGTGGTTTTGATTTATGTATATGTGTATTATTAGTGGGGATGGAGATGCCGAGCAAAATTAGCGGTTCGTGGTTCGTCGGAGAATCCTCTGATAGGATTGTACCAGGAGGGCACCCATAACGCCGTAGATATACCTAATTGCAAAGGTTCCAATCATAACTTCTTTTTTTGTCATTCATTTTTCTTTTGTTTGTTTCACTCAAATGAGTCGAGAACTTGAGATAAAAAATGAATTCATGCGAGAGAAAATATTGTAGCAAAAAAAGTTAATTTAAATTTTCGTGAGAGAAAATAACTTGAATTGTGATTCAAACTAGCGAAATGAAGGGCTCTTTTATCTTTCGATTATTGATTATTAATTTGTTCGTGTCAGCTCACCATCCGAACATTAATGCCGCCGTGGAGCTGCTGAAACAAGGTTTAAGATTCGTACTTTCTTGGAATATACATTATTATTACATATACAAGTTTTTGTTTTGGATTTTTTAAGTGATTCTATGGTTATATGTCAGGTTTTAAAGAACTAAGCATTGAGCCTTATGATGAAGACGAGGGAACAGGTGACTTGCGTTATGTGCAGGTGAGCAAAGCTATTCATGACTAGTATCTTAGGCGTTAAGGATATTGTTATTGACGCTGATTAATTTGTGGGTGGATTGCACTTGCAGATGGCTGTGACGACATATGATACCTCTATTCCTGCCTCCAAGAGATATATGAATGGTTTTAACATAAATCCATTTCATGTATTAGCTCCTTGTTTTATGTAATCCCATCTTTTCTTTTACTTACGTATGAATGTGATATGTGTTTCCAGGCAAAGTGCAGGTATCTCTAGTTTGGAACTCAAGGAATGAGAATTCTCCGAATTCAGATAAATTACTAGCCTTAGCCAATGTGAGCTCGTGCAATTTCTTATTTACTTATTTATTTATTTTATGTGGATTTTCTTTCTTTCTTAAAGGAAACTCAACTGTTTAACTTGTATTGGTGTGCAGTTTTTATGGAAAAAAGGTGGACGGAGGAACAATGTCCATTTGATTCATTCCATATGGGCCAACTTTCAGACATCAACTAACAATGTAAGATTAGAGGTTATTTTACAAAGCGGAAATGCATATAACATGGTTTTTGCTCCCTTTTCTCTATCTAATATTTTGAAACTATACTTGATTTTATGCAGATAATTTTCGGTAATAGATGGAGACATCTTTTAGGAGAAAGAGACTTTTGGGAGCACGTTGGAGGAATTGATATTTCCTTGGCTCCATCCAGTTTTGGCCAGGCAAACACACGGGTAAAAGAAATTTCCTGTTCTAAAAGAAGGGGAAAAATTGTATTGTTTAATAAAATGCTCCATCCAGTTTTGGCCAAGTAAACACACTGGTAAAGAAATTTTCTGTTCTGAAAGAAGGGGGGAACTGTGATTATTTGATTAAAAATTTCCAATCTCCAAATAAACATCAAATCTTTGTAAGTATACATCTACTTAGCATACAAACTATAAAGGTGTTATACCACTCCTTTTGCCTCCACATTTTTGCCTGTGTATTGTATCAGGAAACAAAGTTGTCAGTTATCATAAAGTACGTAGGATCAAATATCAAAAAGACAATGCTTTTTCTAAAGCTAACACGAAGTCCCATCTTATGAAGTCCCTTCTTATGATTCCTTGTTTCGGTGCTACATTTTTGCAGGCTTTCGATGCCCTGCTCCAGAAGTTGCAAAAGTATGTCCCATATGGATCATCTGTAACTGATTTGTATGCAGGAGCTGGTGTTATTGGATTGTCCTTGGCTGCCACAAGAAAATGCAGGCAAGAAACTTGCCTTTCAAATGGACTCAGAAAATGTTGCTTTAACTGAAAACATTGTTATTTTGATGTTGTATGTTTATCTAGGTCTGTTAGATGCGTGGAGATCAATAAAGAGTCAAAGCTATCTTTTGTGAAGACGGTTGACCGCCTACCGAGTTCTATAGATAGCAGCATCAGCTGGCATCATGCAGACACTTCGAAGGTTGATTTTTTTCCTTGCAGGTTTGAATTGATTGTCTTGCAACTTTCATCTGAGTTTCATGATGCGGCCATCTTATTTTTTATTTTCCTCTTTTTATAATTGAACAGGAACCTCTATCTTGGGTAAGGGGCTCAGACGTAGTTGTTGTTGATCCTCCTAGAAAGGGACTAGATCCATCTCTTCTAGAGGCATTGTGTAATATATCGTCTATAAAGCATAAAGCTGAGTCATCCTTTGAAAGGTTGGACTGTTTTGTAGTTCTTATATACTTAACTCTAGGATCTTGTGCCTTGTACATGTGGGAAGTTATTAATTAATTAAAATTTGTGGCAACATCAGTCCATCCTCAAAAGTCAAAGATGAAAAGAGACCATGGATTTTACGTGCAAGGGAAGCTTCAGTTCAGATAGGGAACAAAACAACTTCTGAGGACAGTGAATCACTGCCACAAACCCTCATTTACATAAGCTGCGGATGGGAAACCTTCAAAGAGGTGCTTCTTTTCTAAGATTGAATTGGAAGCTGTCGAAATTATTTGATTCCTTTTCGGCTATTGTTTGATTATTTTCTAGCTAACCATGGAGAGATTATCCAACAGGATTGCAGGTCGTTGTTGTCTAACAAGGTGTGGTGTTTGGAAAAGGCCCACGGTTATAATTTTTTCCCAGGAACGCAGAGGTATTGATCATTTAATTCTTTCTTCACTTCTGGCCTTGCATAACATGTAAAACTTCGTAGTGTTTTATATGACTTTTTCTCTAAGGTAGTTGATAAGCCCTTACTCAGGCAAGTGTACATTAGGAGGAGCAAGGGCTTAGGAAGGGGCAGGGCCTGATCGTGGGAGAGTTGTTTTTAGCCTTAAGTGGGAACTCGTAGTATTAGTAGTATACTTACTTTGATAGCTGGCCGAGGGAGGGGAAATGAGGTGGAATGTATAAAAGGAGAGGGAAGAGGAGTGGAGAATTAGGGGGAATGTATAAAAGGGGAGAGGGAAGAGGAGTGGAAAGGGACACGGGAGAAATAATCAGGAAGTAGACAAGACTTGGAATCATTCTAAGCAAGGGGAGGAAGCAGACCCTCGAAGATCTGCGTATAATTGTATAGATTCTGTCGATTAATAAAGTTCCTACGTTGATTCTTTCTAGATTCTTTCAATTCTTCAATTCATTCTTACATAGATCTTGTTCCAAACACCAAAGACCCTATCAGTAGTCTGATGTTTGGATCCTTAGATGAAAGTAGAAGTTCCATCTTTTATTACACATCTTTGTTTGTCAAGTTCTCTGTATATTCATCACTGACAAAGTTATTTAAAATCATAACTGCAGCATTGAGGTGTTGGCTGTGTTCAAGAGGGGCGGAAAAGTAAGCATAAATAAAAAGAAAATAGGAAAGAAGAAGAAGAAGCGTCTGTGAAGAATGACAAGCGAGATTAGTTGTAATGTTCAACAACATCTATTCAAATTCATAGCAGAGGTCCTTGCAAGAAGAATGAGAAAAAAAAAATGCTATGTTCCAAATAATCGGCGGCCATCTTTTTGTTGGTTCCTTTTGTTGTAGAAACGAAGTTTTGTGCCTGACTAAAGTTCGTGTAGAAATAATAATTGAAAATTCATGTTTACATTGCTGTGGCATCTTATTATCTGGCTCTCTTAAAATTTAATGAAGTTTACATCATTTTTGGCATCTTATTTGCCTCTTATAAATTCAAGAAAGAATGCATTGCTTGATAAAACTTTGAAGAATAAAAAATGAGCTGTCCCGCACCAAGAAAGCCGATATCATCATTCCTCCCTTATTAGAGGCTCAGTGCCCCTTCTCTCTGCTCTTGGATCTTGCCAGATGAGGGAAAGCAGACAAAATGTTATGAGCCCGCAAGTCCTGCCTTGTCAAAATTCCAACTATCGGAGGCACCTAGAAATGGACAAGCCTTCAGGTTAGTTGTATTGTGTATATGTGCAATGACCATGATTGCTTTCATAATGACGATGTGTTATGCTATTTTAGTTTTGATAGGTGAGTGACAGAAACAGTAAAATGTGTTCGACTGTGACTGAGAATGAACATCATGAACTCTGCTTGATGAGGTGCATAGAGTTAAAGTGAATGAAAATTGTTATATAGACTTACCCCTGCTGCTTCATACTTTGGTACAATGAGCATGTGGCGGAGTCCCACTGCTCTGAAGAGGACCATTGCTTTTGCCACTGACATACTCTCTACAACCGTATAAGGTGTTGTGTTTGTCAGTGGATGCAGATCTATGTACATGTCCATTTCATCCCTTGTTACGACCACCTCTTCAATTGTTCCTTCTCTTTCAGCCAAATCAACCGAGGTAAATTTTTCTCTCACTTCCCATTCTTCTGTTCTTCGTTTCTCACTCAGAAACCATTTCTTCTTCAGCACTTGGACGAGGTGAGTTCTGAGGATTAGTCCATGTAGTTCCGTTGCCTCAATGGGCAATCCAACCGGAGGCACCACGCCATCATCTACAACAGGGAAACCATTGTGTGTAGTGTTCTTAAGAACTTCCACAACCCGAGACACCTTTTCGACACCATGGAGCGTTACTACTGGCGGCTTTGCATCAGCAAGCTCAGCCACTGTGAGATTCCTCATCCAGGGTTCTGGATTTGCATCCAAGAAAGGCAGTCCTTTCAACTCTAGTATAATCTCATAGATGCTTGGATTGAAACTGTCTCCCACAGTTTTGGCAATTAAGAGGACCATCATAGTTATGGGTAGTAAGAGAAGGTTGTTGGTGAGTTCAAGAAATATAACGCAGAGTGAAACAGTCATCCTCATTGAACCAGCCATCAGAGAGGCTGCACCGAGAACGGCATAAAGCCCTTGGTCGATGTTTGTATAAGATTTCATGGCCAAACCAAGCAGGCGGCCATAAGCTGAGCCCATGAGAATGATGGGGAGAAACAGCCCAGATGGCACGGCAATCCCAAAGGTAATTAGTCCTAAGATGCAATAGATTGCAAAGAAGATAAGGAGGGAGACGGGGTTATATTCACCCGCAGTGTTGGTCGAGAAGATGTTCCGAACTGCGTCATCGTTGGTGGTAAGAAGTAGAGTAGCTAAGTCATTGTAGTATCCTTTGGGACAGTTGAATTGCTTATAGTTGCCAGATCGTCCATTGGTGGGGCAAGCTGAATCTGGAAGAGAGTTATCACAGGGTGTACATGAGGCAAGGAAAGGGAGACCATAGAGGCACACGGAGGTAAAGATTGATACAAAGAGACTGAGGAGGAGCTTGTGGATTTTTCCCTTCCTGCCAAGAAGACAGAATAGTTCCATTAAATAAAAAAATAAAAAATAAAAAAGAAACGGAAGAAAGTTACTCTTTGTTGAATCCTTCAATTTTGTTACAGCTTTTGAGACTTGGGGTTTTTATAATCTACTTCATATCTAAGGTATCAAATGAAAAACTTTTTATGTCAGTTTGAGAAATAAGATAACAATCATGGATTATCTGAAACATGTTGAGCTAGTCTAGTTCTTGGCCCCCAACGGTGGAGCCCAGCCGGTATGCAGAGCTCTTACCTGTTAATATTTAGGATTGGGTTTCTTTCTACTTAAGTTATCTTTGTCCTAAATAAAATAGTTCTTGTTTCACTGTTCCTACAATGCATGAAATATCGAAATGAAAGATTGAAGTTTTAGCTAAAACGCTTACTGATTGATAAGATTGTACAGCCTGAGGACCTTGTGGAGAACGTGGTTGTAAAGACTTCCAAGAAGTCCACCAATGATACCAATCAAAACAACAGGGATAATATCCATTGCACGGTACCTAACAGAGACATTGCTTACATCAAACATGATCAGCCCTCCTCTTCCAAAGAGCCCACACTGTCCATTATTGCATATTTCAATGAAGGCCCTGAGCACCACCACCACAACCGCTGTGCTGAAGAAAGTTCTCCATAGGAGGGCGCTTCTCCACCATGTAGCCACCTCCTCGAGAGCAAAGAGCACACCGCCAACAGGGGCACGGAAAGCTGCACAAACTCCAGAAGAAGCACCACAAGTGATGAGATCCCTGCGGTCACGGTCATTGTTAAAGTACCGAAGCCATCGCCATTTAATCCGATGATTATCTGGGCCCCCTTGTCCTAGTAAGGAAGCTATGCAGCTGCCAATGTGCACAAGGGGCCCTTCTTTTCCAAGATCTAAGCCAGCGGAGACAGCACCAATGCTTCCAATAATCTACAACAAAGACAATGCAGCACGACATTTGCATTAACAAATGGATGTTGTATGAATTTTAATTTGTAAATTCTAGTGCGTGTTTGGAATTATTTTTTAAAACGGTTTTCACATATTTCGAGAAGAAAAAAATGAAAATAAAAACGAAACGACATTTATTTAGCAAATGTTTTGAAAATGAAAACAGTGATAATGATTTTTGTGAAGGAATTAAAAAACAGTTAAAAGTTATTTTTATTTTTTAGTACTTATCAATAATATTATAATATATTAATTAATAAATAAGATTTTATTTTTTTATTATACTCAAAATAATCTTTTAAAAAACTAACCAAACGCAATTTTAAAATTAAATTTAAAATAATTCTCAAAACAATCTTATTTTTATTTTTTATTGAAAACAAAATCATTTTAAAGCGAATTACAACCACACCCCTTATGTTTTAACTCACTTGAAGATAGTATACCTTTCATTTTATAACTAGTTTATATATTGATTTCAAACTGCTGTATTTAACACGATCACAGCAAAACTAGTTCATTGACCTCTTTTATGATTTAAAATGGCAACGTGGTCTTTCTTTTTTTCTTTTTTTTTTCTTTTCTTCTTTTTTTTATATTTTTTTATGTGATCACCCGTAGTTCTCCAAAATTGTGTTAAGGGTGAGTTTGTGCAATGATCAGTGGCACACCTTGACGATCAATGTTGTAGCACCAAACATGTCGGGAGTATCAACTCCATTCAGGTAAGCCTTGATCTCAGGTATACCAGGCCCAGCGGCAGTCGGTGCGAAAAACACGCAGAGAACGGCGGCGACCGACGTCAGAAGAAAATTGACCGCCGTGAAATAGATCAACCCCGTGATGTACCTACATCACATCAAAATTTCCCCACAATTTTCAGTGTCAACAGAACGCGCCACAGAAAAAGAAAACACTGTTGACAAGAAACACAAGCAAGGGAATGATCAAAATACCTTTCTTGTTCTATATAAGCAACCACAGCGAGAAGCTTGTATCCTGCAATATTCTCAACAGCAAGGTTGATGAGAGTGGCAATTATACCAGTTAGGAGTCCAACAAGACATGCCAGTGTCCATTTCAAGAATACATATTGAAGAACTTGTGCTCTGGATCTGCTTCTCCAATCATGCTTGAACAGATCATTCTCGTTGATTCTGAAACATCATAGAAAAACTTCAAACTCGGCGCGAAAATTCACAAAAAAAAAAAACAAAAACAAAAAAAAAAACAAAACAAAACGAAGAAGAATTTTATTTGCCATTTACTCATAATCCAAACTCTCTATGTGGGAAACTTTGGTTCCAACAATAGCAAGTGGACTGGAAGAGAGTGTCCTGTTTCTCTTGAGAAGTGGCCTTGTGAGAGAATTGCTTTCTGGGTCTCTTTCTTCCAAATCAACAGTTTCTGCCTCCACTTGTGGAATTGCTGTTTCTGCATATTGCTTTGAATTTTCTTCCATTGAACTGATAAAAACACAAAAAAGTGAAACTTTTCTTCTTCTTCTTCTTCTTCTTCTTGGTGTCTCTTTCTTAAAACTGGATTACAACAAATATAAATTGAGCTCCTTCTTCTTTATTGGATGGGAACAAAACTTCCATTTTTTTCTTTTTTTTTTCTTTTTTTTTTATAAGGCTTCAAAATGCAGAGAAGTGTTAATTATGAATTCTGAATGTGTTTATACTAACAGACACGAGCTTCTTGTCTCGCTTGTGTTTGTTTTTTACTTTTTTGTAATTTTTGTGACTTTTTTTTTTTTTTTACTTAAAAAATGAGGCTGGCAATGATATACAAGAGGGCAATAAAATTACTTAAAAACCAAATCCGTGGATAAATTGCGAGGGCGGAAAAGGAAAAAGAATATTGTGGTCCTTGTGAAGGAAAAGACTATCATATGATTATTCATTAAAATTGGTTCATTAAAATTGGAAGGTTTGCAATGAATAATTTGAGGGTTTTATTTTTTGTTACTTTTCCTCTTATGATCCACCATCGCTATCAAGGGATCATGTTTATCAAAATTTGAAGGAACAAAAAGGTATATTCTAAACAAGTAATTATTCAGTGTTATATTTTGCTTAAAAGATAAGGCATCAAGCATATATTAATACCAAAAATATTTATATTTTAAGTATATGTTTTTGTTAATCATATTACGTATAGGAAAGTAATTGTGTAGATTATGTGAACACTAATATTATCAAGTTTTTTTAGCTTTAAAAAAATGACATGTTTTCCATGATTGTACCTTACTTTATACTTTATAGTTTATATCAATGAGTTGAGGATTTTTCTAGATATTGCTATCAGAAATGTGAAGCGGAAATTCGGCCCCAAATGAAAACATAGCTTTAAAAAAAGAAAATAAAAAAAAAAAGTTTGGCACGACTTTATTTTTTCGGCCATGAAATCATAACTCATTTCCTTCATGTGATAAACCACCTATTTCACGTGATTATGCATCCTTTAACTATTTCAATGCAAAAATAAAGGTAAATATTACTCAAAATAAGACCAAATTGAGTAATTGAGTAAAAAAAACAAAAAGGGGAAGATAATAACTATCAATTAACGCATCCGCCCACATTAGATTGCCTCTGTCCTTTTTATATTTTTTAAATTGCCTAATGGATCATAATGGCCCATAAAATCTAATGAATTTTGCTGTCCGTCTAGCATTATTCATTACTATGCCATATAGACTGAAAATCTCTCTCTTTATTTTATTTTTAATTATTTTTGCCAAGGAAAATAATCTGATTGGTTGGACGTCGCTGGCTCTATCTTGTCCGCTCTCAACAACTTGGCAGCTCTGCCCCACATATGCCCATCTGCCACCTCCAGATAAGCACCAAAATGCCGGAACCACTTTGCTCCGCGACACGTGTAATTACCTCTATCGTCTATTGTATAGGTCAACGGCTCAAACTAAACGCCCTTTCAGGTTGTCCAAAAGACACCTTATATTTTGCAAACGATTAAACATTTTTTTTATAATCCAAATGATTAAACTAATTGACTTTTTGAACGTATCTTCTGACATATTTGGATTTGGCAACAACATGGGCCAATTGATTGGCGTCATAAATGTATTTTAGGGAGGAAAATAGAAAATATACCTTTTTAGTAGACCTATTTAGTTACGTCTCTCTCTCTCTCTTATTATTACGATTTCTTTTTTTTTTTATGAGATCTCCTAAAATTTTGCTGCTCTTGAGTTTTTTATACATAAAGAGAGAGTGGGAAATTCTATGTTATTCCAAAAATTGAAGTTTTTCTCTAGATTTTCTTTTATTAGTTCTTTAAATTAAATCCTCGATTTATTTCAAGTTATGTTAGTTGTATATATATTCTTATTGTAATGGAATTTGGACCAAATTTCTCGTCCCAGAGCATGGAGAAACATTCTTTTAGATAATTTATGGTAGTCAATTTTGTCTTGTTCTTTTGATTTTTTTTTTTTTTTTTTATTTTTTTTTTTTTTTGTGGGGTTAATTTTTAGCTTAAACGTTCAATCAAAAATAGCACCAGCAATTGCTCCGGGACTTCGCATTTCAGTTTGGCAAGTAACATGTGACGTGCATGATTGGAGGGAGGTGGGCATGTGGCGATACGAGTGTGAAGCGATCCTCAGACATTGCGATGTGCACGTTTTTGGATGTCGCCCACGACTGCAGTTGCCGATCCGCCACTCGAATTTTCGCGTTTCGCCTTTCTGTGGGGCCTACCACCATGCTTTTCCCCACCGGCAATCAGGACCAACCACGTGGACTATTTTTTGTGGGACGCTTTTATGTCACTATAAGTGTTCAGTAGGTCTGATTGATTGAATTGAATATGAAAAACTCTTTTTGCACCCAATCAGGATCTCTTTTTTCTTTTTTTTTTTGTTTGTGACTGTTTTTTTAATTAAATCTTGATACATCATAATTTATTTAAGCATTTTTAATATTTTATTCATTTTATGTTGTCAGATTTCAAATTTAAATAACATGATAAAAAATTAATAGAATGACAGCTGTCGAAACAGAAAAATAGTGGGACTCCATAGGTGAGGCTTATTTTTATTTTTGATAGAAATAAATTCTCATGGGAGTAAATAAAACCGCAAACAATATTATTAGGCACCAGTAGTGTTGAGCACTACCCATTAACATAATAGGAATACCGTAATAAGAGACTAACATATGAGGCTCATTTTTTAATTAACGGTGATTATTAATATCGGTGGTACCCCTAAATATTTTTTTTTTCTGAATAAACCTAAGCATTTTTCTTATAACTGCTCAATTGAATATGAATGTGAGTCAGCATTTAGCAAGAGTAAAGCGGCATAAAAATATTTGCTCTAAGCATCATGTGTCAAAAGTTCAATGCCCAAATCTCTAACTGAAAGACTATTGAAGCGCAAGAAAATTTTATTTTTTATTTTGTTTTATTTTTTAAGGTTAGCATGCACCATGCCGTTCAATATTTATATCAAAAAGTATTAGTTTACCTTCAACGTGACAGAAAAATAAAAGCGCGTTTGCATTGCAAGAACGTGTTTAATTTAGCTGAAAAGTAATTATTTTCCTAGATATAATCCTACTTATTGGTCAATGGTACGTACTAAACAATTGAGAAACATCATATTCACTCAAATAAAATGATTACCCTTTCAGCCAAAAATATAGGTCGTGTTTAGAATTGATCCCGTTTTTATTTTTATATTTTTTGAAAAAGAAAAAATAAAAACATTTTTAAAATGACGTTTGGCGCAATAAAGACAAAAAATAGAAATGAAAATGATTTTTGATTTAGTGTAAAATGAGAGAGAAATGAAAAACACATTTTAGTCATTTTTTATTTTTTATTTTTATTTTCTCATCTCTCGAGGAGAGAGAGACATTAATGAGTTTTTTATACTAAAAATAATCTCTTAATAAAATTACCAAACGTATTTTTAAAAATGATTTATGTCTGAGATTGAAAACGTTTTCATTTTTATTTTCATATAAAAATAAAATCATGTTGGAACGAGTTCCAAACGCGCCTATATTATGTTTATTCAGCCTTTTCTACCTTTATACTAAAAGTTACAATTCGTGTTAGTGAGTTGTATTCATATCAATCCGTTTATTAATCATGTTAAAAAAATATCAATTTAAACACGATATGTTTACTAAATGTGTCAAAAATGTCAACCCAAATACGACTCATTTATTAATCGTGTTAATTGTGTCAACCTGTAAACTCGTTTAAATTAATATATTGAATAAATAACTAATATAATAATGACTTATTTAACATGGTCATAACAAGTTTAACATGTTTATTGGTCAATTTATCTTTTTCTTTAAGAAAAATAAATGAATTTTACCTACAGATATTAAAATTCACATTATTTGTATTTAATATGTCATATAAACTTTCATGTTATATCACATATCATTAGATTGCATATGACACATATAATTAGTCATGTCAATTCGTGTCACTTCATGTTTAGAGGTCAAACCTAACCTAACTCATTTATTAATCGTGTCAACTCGATTATGACCTAAACTTATTTATAGTAAATCTAAACCCCCTAACTTCGTACAGATTTCGAGTCGTGTCGCTACCTGGATTATCAGTCATACTTTATACAATGAAATTATTGTTTATTTCCTAAGCTTTCCAACCAAAATATTTGTTTTTTTCATTAATTTACAATAGTAATAAAGACCAATGATGAGCACTGTTGACGGCTAAATTTTGTCAACAGAAGTACGCCGGGTTACCCACTGGTATCTCGTTGGGTTACCGGCTGGACATTAACTATATATTTGAAATTATGCTATGAAGTGTTTGTTGTATTTTTGGAAGTATGAGAATAATGCTTGAATGAGAGGACACGCGAAATTTATAGTGGTTCACTCTGTTAATGAAGAGCTACATCCACTTGTGTATTGTATTTCTTTTTGGACTCTTGCAATTTACATGTATCGTTATTCTTTCTCTGATTGAATATTAAAGAAGCCAATCTCCTCCTCTCGTGTATGGAGCTTTGCCCCTTTTATAGCTCAAGGTTCCTTCGTGGGCGGTTCTCCTTTGTAGGTAGAAGTACTCGAGTGGCCTACCTTTCTAGACCCAGACCGTAGCCCACTAATCACCTTTTGAACTGTTCACTCAGCCAATTAGTCTTTCATTACAGCTCTGTAAATTCCTATAATCCTTCACTGTCCACTGTAGGGCGGTTTATGGATTTACAATTAATGCCTGTACTGCAGACATCTCCCATCCCTAGACGCAACTTGTGATGTCAGACTCATTTCTGAAGAGTATTCCCCTCGTCGTCTGCGCTGTGTAGACCGCATGTCCTTCCTAGCAGTCGACCCTTTCCAGACGAGAATTTTGTTGCCATAAGATCGACGACACGACTGGTCGATGGTATGCCGGGTCGATGCCCTAAGTCAGGCCTTCTTGCAGCGTAGAGGGGAAGCGAGCTTCAAGCGTCGAGAGTTGTCGCATTTTGAAGAAAAATAGGGCCACGTGTCACGCTATCACTGTTCCACATGTCACCCATATTTTTCCACACAACAAGCACGATAACAAATTTCAACTCAGTGATTGTTAATAGCCACTCTCACAAGAGTCATTGAGCAAGTGTCATTATTACTCGTCGTCATATTCGATTATATCATACCTTTGTCAACCCCTTCACTGTTCAAATTTTCACCGAGCAACCGTCGGAGGATCCTTTGAAAGTGTTTGTTTAAATCGGAAGCAGCACAACATTTTATTTCTAGTTAAATATGGTGGTAAAATTTCTATAAATAATAAAATGATTCCTTCTGTACAGCAACTTGTGGCTGTAGTTTAGTGGTGAGAATTCCACGTTGTGGCCGTGGAGACCTGGGCTCGAATCCCAGCAGCCACAAATATTATGCAATTTTCTTTTTCGGTTTATCAAGGAACGACGTCTGGATTTTGATTTCATGTCCTACCTCGTACCTACCACAGTAGTCAGTACCACTCATCTTATATCATTAATTATTATTGATTTAAATAGAAGGAAATAATAATAGTGTTTAAGAAGACCATAATAACAGTATCTCAGAAAAAAAAAAAAAAAGAAGCAAAATCCATCATTTAAATCCCTTTTATTTTTGGTATGTTCCATATTGATTATTTAGCGTGCCTCTAAACTTCAATTTCCTTGCGGAATTCCATGAAAAAGATCATGCTTTTAAAAACGTACCATTTTTGCAGCAAGAAATGGTAGTCGTGAATCTCTTCTATTACTATTTTACCATTTCACTATCTTCTGTAAGGAGGTTTCTCTTTAAGTTGACTTGCTCTATCAATATTCGCACGAAGATGCTCAATATCTTGGAGCAAAAATGAACATGAAGGCTTCGAGTTCGTTAAAGTCTCCACATATTCTTTTAATGGCGCTGTCAATTTTCTCGATTGCTTGTTGTATCCTTCTAATGAAATCTTCGAAGCCAACAGGAGGAAATGATGGGACCGTTGCTTCTCAATACTCGGTTTCTATATTTCATTTTTAATCCTTTTCTTTTGATCTGCTTTAATCTTATATTCAAAATGGCAAAATGGTTTTGTGATGCTCTCTAAACAAAAGAATTGATAGCTAATTCTACCTTGTTATATATATATATATATATATATATATATATTAACTCGGGATGTAAGAGTTTGAACTCTATACTTTGATTTTAGAATTTGGTGTAGAATTACGTCAAGGCGAAGCAAGTAACTATTAACTTTTACTTTATTTCTTAGGGAAAAAAAATTAACTGGTGCAACGGTTTTCTCTTTGTTATCAGAATTCTAAAAGCAACGAGTTGGTCCAAGTGTTGAGGAGAGCGTCCATGGAAGACGGGACGGTCATACTGACTACGATTTTTGACGAAGCATGGACAAGACCCGGCTCTGTCCTCGGCCTCTTCCTAAAAAGCTTTCAGATTGGCCAAGGGACCAAAAGGCTCTTAAATCACCTGGTCATTGTCACCTTGGGAAGCCAAGCATTTCAAAATTGCAATTGTTTGCATCCCCATTGCTTCCAACTCAGACCATTCGGATCAAGAAAGGGACCTCTGGCTTTAGACAACCTCGTGATTCAGAGGAACACAAACAATTTGCTGCTGCAAGTGCTTGATCTAGGTTACAGTTTCATCTTCACGGTAAGTTCCTCCAGTTCATGGTTGGTTGGGATAAATTACCATGTTGGTCTAAGTATGTTGACGAGAAATGTTCGGTTGCAGGAGGCGGATGTTATGTGGTTGAGGACTCCAATTGTACACATTCACCCTTCATACGAAATCACAATCCCGTGCAATTTACACTCTGAGGATTCACAGAATCGAAGCAACAAACCAGGGAGGGGGCTTTTTTACGTGAAATCAAATGCTGTGTCGATCGAGCTATTTAAGTACCGGAAAGTTTGGGGCACTCTTTACCCCAATTCCCATGTTAAATCTCTATGCGAGGCATTGAAAGAGCAGCAGGATGTGATCGAAATGCTTGGTGTGCGCATACAGTACCTGAATGCAACCTATTTTGGTGGGTTTTGCCAGGGAGATAGTAGGGAAATACGACAGGTTTATACCTTGCAAGCAAATTGCTGTGACAATGTGGAGGATAAGGTCCATGATCTCAAGCTTGTTCTTGAGGATTGGATAAACTTCAGAGCACAATCATTCAATATCAGTTTAGGAAAGAGGGCACCAACCAAATGCATAGCATAAGAGTTTCTTCATACTTTATATCTACTCTTAATGTCCTTATCAGACAATGAATATGAGGTAGAGATAGCTGTGATCGTTTAGTTCACTAGTGGAAAGGAATAATAATATATATAGGAGAAATTCAGATTTTAATCTCCTGAGTTCTTCAAATGACACAAATATTCCTTCAGATTATCAGTTTGAAGGCAACCTGTGTCCAATTTTGACGGAATTTGTTATCAAGGGTGGACTCTTTAAAAAAATTGGAAAAGTGTTACCTATGCAAATTCTGAAAATACCATATTAAACATCAAATTCAACTCAAAAAACAAGGGAGGATTTCGAAGTTTTCCTCATCATTTAACAGGAAAGGCCCTATATATTTTAGGCACAAAACTATCTTCCCATGAATCTGATAGATAAACATGAAAAGGGTGCTCTCAAAATGGATTTCCAGGAATGAAAAATTACTACTTTTAGTACTAAATACAAACACGGGAGAAATTATGATTAACCAAAAAAAGAGAATTCACTCAACTTAATGCAACTTAAAAAGAAGACCCAAAAGTCTCTTAAAATCCAGAGTGAAGAAGGTCAGTAAGGAATGTCTCCTTCGGGTAAATCCCAGTTATCTTCATCTTCATCCTGCTTTTTGCTCGAAGGAGGCGTTTCCTGCCTGTTCTGCGCCGAAAATCTCGGTGGAGGGGGACGCCTATTTAAAATCAAGAGCACAACAATAACAAAAACATAAACAACCTTAATTTCCACAAAAAATAAAAATAAAAAAATAATGGAAAACATTTATTATAGACACCTTCTGCGATTGCGCTTGGCGGCCTCGCGGGTCTTGCGCTTCTTTTCGTCCTGTTTGTTCTCATGGAACCTCCGGCGCTTGCACTCCTGAATGACGCCGGCCCTCATGACCTCTCTCCGGAACCTGTTGAGCAGCCTCTCCTCCGGCTCGTTGTCGTCCACCACCACCTGCACGTTGTACGCCGACTTGAAGAAGAGCGTGTTCGCGTACGCCAGCGACGGGCAAATCACCGATGACAGTGAGGATTTTTCCGGCTCCACCTGGGCCACCGACCCGTGTTGGCCATATTGGGTGGTGGTGGTGGTGAGTTTGTTGTCTTTGTGGGGGGCGGAGAGGGAGAGCTGGGGTGGTGGAGCTTTGTGCTGGGGAGGGGGCTTTGTGGGTAAGATGAAGGAAAGGAAATTGCTCAGCGGAGATGATGAGGCTGCCATGGATGTAAGGATCACTTTCGACTGGGTGTGGTGTGTGATCGCCAGGATAATCAATCACTTTAGTCTTGTGTGGGCCCTTTTCGACTTTATCCTTTTTCTTTATTTTTTTCTTTTCTTTTATTTTTGGATGGATAAGGGGATTGGGAATTAGGAATGGTGTAAAAACGGCATGTCGCTTTTTATCCAATTATTCCAAAACGACATCCTATTAAACGCTGGTTGCTCTTAAAAAACGACATGTCGTTCATTTCTCTATGATCCAATTTCTTTTCTGGCATATGGTATGGATGGATAAGAATGGGAAGTGGGTCGTTTTCTAGGGACTGTATTGGCAGGGGTGTTCAGAAAAATTGATAAACTGACTCGACCTAAAAAACTGACTAAAACCGCACACATTTAACCAAACTGAAGATAACTGACATAAAAAATGAACTCAATTGAACTGAACCATTTTGGGTCGGTTCGGTTTCAGTTTTGGATGCTGCCAGTTTAGTTCCAATCGAACTGAACCAACCTCTTGTATATTTAAAAAAATATATAATGTTTTGCAACAGTAAGGAGTCGAACTCCAAACCTTTATGTTTGTTTCATGCGTTTAAATTTAAAGTTATTATTATGTTATAATATATTTTTCTTATAAAAATTTAAATTTTAAATGTCAGAATTAAAAATTATCCATTTGTAGGCTAACCATTGCACCACACGCATTTGCTTTGCCATTTATGATTCCCATTAATATTTATTACGTAGTTGGTGTGTTAAAACTGCACAACTCCAAATTTTTGGAGTCCCACATTGGAGAAAAAAAAAAAAGTAGAGTTTTAGCCTACTTGTTCTCTATAAAAGGCGAGTAGTGTTTAACTCTTCAAATCTGAGCCTCAAATGGGCCTTTATGTATGGGCTTTTGTTATTGGGCTCTTGCCCTTTTGAATTTGAGTTAACAAAATTCAAAAAAAAAAATTAGTTTTAAACTTTATTTGTCGAAACCGATGGCTAAACCGAAACCGCTGTGCATGGCCGGTTATGGTACGGTTAACTCTTAATGGTCGGTCGGTCTTGGGTGGTTGCTTTGCCAAAACTGAACCGTCGATTCGGTTATCCGGAGGTGTGAAAAAACCAAGTACACCCTTAGGTATTGATCTTGGAGCCGGCCCGGACAGTTATTCCTTATATAACACAATTAACGCGTCACCTTGGAAACGATATCCAGAAAAGGACGTGTTTGTTTCTCTTTTAAAGTGACCTGTCGTTACAATGATAAAACGGCGTGTAGTTTGTAATTCAAGATAAAAGAACGATTGCAATTTTCGCTCTAAAGTCGACTAGAAAAAGACGACATATAAAACTACATGTCTTTTTCTGAAGGAAACGACAATAAAATGCGAAATTTCCTTTTATTACCGGAAAAAGTGGAACCAAATTTTCAAGTGGTAAGTCGCGACCTTACCTCGTAAACAGAACGACAACAAGTCATCTATATTGAAGAAATTCATACTATTTTTCTAAAGAAGTCTATGAACTATTAAACCAAAATCCATTACAGATGGTAAACGACATGTCATTATCAGATTTTCAATCAAACGGTTCAAACCAGATCGTTCATTTTTTTCAGAGCAATAAAGCCAGATAGTCATTTTTCGACAAACGACGGGCATTTTCTCGAAAGCTCACCAAAAGGGTCTGTCAAATATCGAAACGGCTGGGCTACCAGATGATAGAAGCTTGGGCCTCTTCACTCTTTAGTGATAGCCTCGTCAATTTGTGCAAGCCATTTATTTTCTTGTTCTGTTTTAGCATATATTAATTTGGCGAAACATATTTGTACACAATATTAAGAGTCAAGTCTCACTTTATTCATATAATAAAGAAAAAAGACATGTTATAGGTTAACAGACTGTTTCTAGGGACACTAGTCATCATCTTCAAATTACGTAATGTGAGTTTACTACAAGACAACATGCATGGAGATAATTATCTAATTCAGGAACTTGGAATCTTGAACTGCAGAGAGTATAGGAATTAAACATTTGACTGCCTCTTCTTTGCGTCGTATTTTCTGTCAGCAGCAATCTGTCTCACTTTTCCTATGGGCAAATTAAATTTGAATGATGATCTAATTGTGGTCCCTAATGATAATGATCCATCTGCAGCTTCTTGTTTTATTATCTACGACTTCTAAATTAACGCAATATATATATATATATAGGACTAAATTAACTATATATATATATATATATTTATATATAGAGGACTTGTTTTCATTGGTT